CTACACCATGATCATTAGCAAGCACCAACTAGCTAAAGAACAAGTCTTTCTGCTGATGATATTTGTGCACTACAAACCCCCTTGTGCCCCAAGCTTTCTTCAATAGAGCAAAACGCCTTTTGCTAAACCGAAATGTTCAAGAATGAGGCTGTAAGAGTGTTTTACTTCTCCAAACAGCCTTTAAAGAGGTAATGAACAAAAATACAAAAAAAAAAACTGACGAAACTTCGAAATTCAAAAAATGCCACTGTTCTGACAAACGGAGTTCATTTCCCGCATTTTAAACAGTTGGTTGTATTTTTTGATGCATTGCCAGCACGCGGTGGCTGCTCGCAAGCGCGAACCATGACGTGGGGGTGGTGGTGATTAGAGGAGAGGAAAGACGCCTAATTTCTGCAGCCCGTTAGGGAGCACGGCGCAGCGTCTTGTGGGGAGGGGGGGATGAGGGGAGGAAAAAGAGGGAAGATAGAAGGTAGCTCTCCGTCAGAGGAAGGGGGCAACTGTCATAGCTAACACAGCAGCCAGTAGTACACGAGAGTCCGCTGCAACTTCTCGAAGTGAGGGGGCATTTCTGTCCCAGCCATGACGTCGTACTCAAAGGAGCGCGCAGGATGCACGTATTCTTGCCCTTCTCTTCCTTTTCTCCACCTCTACTCTCATATCCCAATCTTTCCCTTCCACAAGGATTCGCTCGCAGGATTTCAAGCTGGACGGTTGTGCCCTCGCGATCTCCGACTTCAGCGTAGCTCCCGCCGACTGGTTCGCCCTCCGCGGTCTCCTGACGCCGTGTAGCTCTCGCATTGTGGCACCCCGCCCTTGGACTGCTTCGACCGGATCCCCACTTTCCTATCTCCTTCCTTTTTCCTCTCGTTGGCTGTCTTCTTCTGCTTCTACTTTCCTTCTATTCTTTTTATCCCTCCTTCCCCCCACCCCTATAAGGCACTGCGCCGTGTCGCCTGAAGGCAGACAGAAATTAGGTGCCTTTTTCCTCTTCATTCTAATCACTACCACCTTCCACAAGGGCGCTGGTGCTTTGCCCCAGCCGGAAGCATTCTTCGCTGCTGTTGCTGTTCATACCGGTTTCAAAGAACTTTGTCACAGCTCTTTTTTGTGTATGCAGAAGAGTACAATAAATCGGATGCATTTTGCAAATGAACAATTGGCACAGACAACACAGTTGAAAAAAAAAGTGTGACCTGTTAATTGCCTGTGTACTTTTTCCCTTGTTGCTTCATTGGTTCGGTAGTTACTATGACCATTCCAGCCTTTGCTAGCTGAAACATACACCTTGTAGGAGGGTGGAGGTTCATCGCAGCAGCTTCCCTCCCTATAAATCTAATGTATTGGGCAGACTAAGCACCCTTCCCCCACCTCTTAGTGAGGATGGCTGCTGTCGCCCCCCCCCCCTTCAACCTGCACAGACCTAAGCAAGTGACCCGCTGATTTTTCAGGAACGTTGTCGCAGCTGCTTTCTGCGTGAGTAGAAAGCAAAATAAAGCGGGTATGTTTACCAAATTAACATCAATTGGTACAGACAGCTATAAAAAAAGGTGCGTACGTACTGTGTTGCATACCTTTTGCTGTTGGTGCTGTGTTGGTGGGCAGTTACTTGTTGACGATCCCAGCGTTTGTCGGCTGAAACATCTACCTTGATTGGGGGGAGGGGGGCACTGGTAGAACTGCATTGTGAGACAGATGCCATCCTAAGATAACCAAAATTGTGTGCGCGCGGCCAAAATGCGTTGAACTCCTAGTTTGTGCATCTGTAGAAAGCTACATGACAGGTGAAAAATATATTTCCTTCCTTGTATCCCTGCCGCGAAAATAATTAGGGATAATATATACAGTTAGTATTAGTAGTTAGTATTGCTAGAGCCCATACAAAACAGAGCAGCCCGGTTTATATCTCGCAATTATAGCACTCATTGCAGCGTAACAATATTAAAACAAGAACATTCTATTTCGCCATTGCACGTTCGTCGCTCGGTTGCACTGTTATGTTTGCTGCATAAATATATTCACAGCACAAGACGTTCTACGCTACCCCTAACAGCACCATTGCGCATGTCCAGACGCCTGCACAATCACCTTAGTTTCACTCGCATTTACGGCAAAACGAAGGCATTCAACTTATCAGCGCTTCCTAAGGCCATATCATTATGAAACGACCTTCCCGACTGCATCGCCTCCATCACCGATCCAGATTCTTTTCGCGAACACGTGTGTAATCATTTTTCATCGCACTAATCGCTCTAACTTCACTGATGTTTGTAGCTGCAGCTGTACCACTCACCTAGTTTCACACTTCTCTTTGGTTCTCTTTAATTTTTGCTGTACCCACCGTTGTCTTGCAATTTATATTGGTGAACGCCTTTGTACGGCTGGCAGTATATGTGTTTGGAAAATGCGTGTGTATGTTGTTTTTTATTGCCATTGTTCTCCCAGTTCTTGTTATTCTCCCAGTTTTTGTTGCTCAGTTGCACCGCCGTTGCTGCTCACTTGAATTCTATACCTATGCCCTCCGAATTTATTTATTGTGTTTCGTTTATGTACATTGAATTTCTTGTTATTCAAGCTTTCTGCATATCGGGAAACATTCGCGTATTACATTTGTTTGAGTGTCAGTGACTAGACACGCTTTGTCAAGATGTTGTGTTATTTTCTGTGTATTACATAATATTGATGACCGCCCTATTACTCTTTGAAGTTTGTACCCCCCTTACTCAATGCTCTCATTGAGCTTGTAAGTTATCATAAATTAATTAATTATATAATTAATTAATTAATTAATTTGGAGAGCAGTTTTGCGGCAGGGACGCAGTTTCACTGCCGCCAGCTGCACCCCGTCGTCAACCTCCCCCGGCACTTGCCAGCTGAAGATGATGGTCATGATTTGTGGCTTTGCCCTTTGTAATGGGTAAACGCAGATATGTTGTGTTCCATCCTGAGTATATAAAGAAAAAAAACAAACAAAAAAATCGAAAGCACAAAGAAGAGTTCACTTTTGTCACCACTTTCACTACTGTTGGAGCGCGCCAGCAACAAACAGCGCCACGTCGCGGTGCATAGAATTCGGTTTCTCCGCCGTTAGGGAAGGCACCCGTTCACGACACTACAGTGGCTAGAATAGGCACAAAAAAACTTTCTAGCCACTATAGTTAGGGTGGCTAGATTGAACAGGTGTGAAAAGCGAGCCGTGTTTCTCTTGCGCGAAATCTTCGCTTTGCGCAATATCTCCGCTAGGCCAAAACATGGCGTGACATTCGGAGGTGCTGCCAGCTACTATGGGGGAGACTGTTGTGTAGGCCGCTGCGAAGGAAGCTTGTCAGCTTCGTCGGCGTTCCACGCGGTTTTACTAGTACTTTGTGTTAGTGTGCATTAAGAAAAGGGCGTTTACGAAATTAAAAAAAAAAACTTAGGAGCAGTGTTTTGTGTGATTTGGCGTAAAAAACTCGCACTGTCAAAGGTGTCAATTTTTCTGTGCGCTTGCACTGCTGACAGGTATTCGCTATGGAATCTTGCCGTCCCCAAGGCCGCCGGAGCTATACTTTTACTGTGCGGCCAAAAAAGTAAAAAAAAGCACATGAAGTACCCGGCCTTTACCCAGTATAACGGGGATAAAGATATACAGAAACATTATCATAGTACCGCGCTAGTTAAATTCGGTTGAATCCGTGAAACTATTTCCTGCCTCTCACTATGCGAATTTGAGAACATGCATTTCTGGCTCTGTGATGGTGCGACCTCAAGCGTAATGCATGTTCATCATCATCATTATCAGCCTGACTACGTCCACTGCAGGACAAAGGCATCTCCCATGTTTCGCCAGTTAACTTGGTCCTGTGCTTGCTGCTGCCAATCTATACCCGCAAACTAATTAATCTCATCTGCCCACCTAACCTTCTGTCTCCCCCTAACCATTTGCCTTCTCTGGATATCCAGTTAGTTACCCTCAATGGCCAGCGGTTATCCTGTCTACGCACTACATGCCCGGACCATGTCCATTTCATCTTCTCAATTCCAACTATGATATCCTTAACCCCCGTTTGTTCCGTAATCCACTCTGCTCTCCTTTCGTCTCTTAAGATTACACCAACCCCTTTTCTTTCCATTGCTCGCTGCGTCGTCCTCAATTTAAGCTGAACCCTCTGCAATTTCAGCTTTTTTTTATTAAAAGGCAAGGGACAAACGAACAGGCTACTCGCATTATCAAACTAGAATTAATAGTACGAGACAATACGATTTATCAAATGTTATCGTGTGATAACCTTAGAATGCTAGAAAATTTTTGAAATCATTTGATATCTCACTTGAAGAAGCTTTCTTTTTACTGTATACGTATGGACAAGTATCATGAAGATGAAGGTCATGTTTTCCCACACCAAACCTGTAAACACTGGCTCATTCGAAACAAGACTTGATCGAAGAATAGTTGCATTATGGTCGGCTGAGTTATGCCTGATTTTTTCAGAATAGTAGGGCTAGTAGCATCGGACATAGAAGCGGCAAGACCAGCACTGTTCTTCCGACGATTCAGAACGCACCAACAAGCCCACATTGATTGGCGCTCTATTTATGTCTGGCTGTCTGACTTGTTAACATCACAGGCCTTGTGAAGTTGGTTAAGGCCTTGTGAAGTTATAAGCTCGTTTATCACATTGATTAAGCTCTTTATGACCGACGTGAGTGTCTCGGCTTTGGCAGAGGGGGAGGAGTGTGTAAGGGGCACATGCTTGCCCCCATTCCTTCGTCTCCAGACCACACGCGCCAACGAGTGGTTTTATCCTCGCCTAGCCGCGATGCAGCATGGCTTTCCACCCCCCCCCCCCTCCATTCTCTCCCCGAAAAAAAAAAAAATCTTGCCTATGCGCGAGTGTAGCACCGGGTCATCGAGCAAGCTCGCAGCACCTGTGACTACAGCGCCATCATTGCGGGATCGCGAAGGGAGACCAGCTTAGAGCGGCCGGTTTTCCCACCTTTCTATTGTAGCCACTCTACGGCAGTGTGTCCTCAGCAGCCCAGCTGATCCCCGCAGCTGAAAGAAAACTCCATCATGTTACGGACAATTTCACAATTAATCGCGAAGGCTGCCGTATAGCAGTACCGCCAGGCGTTATTCGTAACCGTATGTCACTGCTGTGGTGCGGCGAGTTGCGGAGTGTTTTACTCGCGAGTTTTACATCGGCACTCCAGGGAGGTGTGTCTCTTTAGCTTCAACATCTACAGTGCCGTTCTGACTGCTGCGACAGCGTTTTCTGTGGCAAGTGCTATGCGTTAGCGAGACAGAACAAGTTCAGAAAATGGTTCGCCAGCGAGACAGGTGAGCTTACTCTTGCTGGTACCCCCAAAATTGAGCAGCACCACTGCGGAGCATGTGGATCAATCAATCAGTGACGCATACCAACGCTTACCTTCTGCTCTTGTGCATGTGTGTGTGTGTTTACCTCCACATGCTCATTTGATGGTTTCGTCACACACCTTTTACGCTAAGAGAACAAGTGAGATGTGAGGCTGCATTCGGGATTTACGCGACATTACCGAGCCGTCACTGGCCTGAAGGCACTTGCAGTGATCGCGATAATGTCGAAGGCGTATGTTGCTACTTCAGCACATCTGACGTTAATTGGTACGATTCTACGCGTGATGTCTGCATGCAAGACAGTCTGAAATGCCCGAAGCCATGCTAGCTCATGTTAATTAGATTTCTAGCTGTCATTGCGTTTTTGTACAGCACTTATTCCGCAGTGCAGCGTCAGGAATCCTGCAAGCTTTCAAAGTCCTTATGGTCGGTAAAGAAACCCATTTTCATTATTTTAAGGTGGATTGAAATACATTCACTCCAGCCCAATTGCATGAATAGTCCACCGTGGTACGCTTATAGCTAACTCGACCCGATATATCACAAAGTTGTAGTACTGTAGCTGAGATGACATTTTCTCACTAAACACAATACTGCTCTGTTGATAAGAGTGACAGTGAATTGCTTTTCTTCGCAGATTAAGATGGCACTTGCCTGGCATCTTTGCAACGCTGTGTTACAGCAGTTGTAGGTGTTACACAAACCTCGCCTAAGCTACATGAATCATTCATGAAGTGCTGATGGTAGAAACAACTTATTTGATGTGTCGTGCATATGTTTATTCTATCAACCATGTGCACATTAACCTTCATGTGCGAGGCAACTAGATGCAGTAATAAGCACACCATCTAAGTGTTTCTGTTACAGACCCCGCAGACTATGCGCTCTTTAAAAGTTTCTATTTGTACGATTGAGTTAAGCTCGTTCTAGCAGTGTCTTGGCTACCTGTTTTAAGTTGTGTACTTGAAATGCCGCATGCTTCCCATGTCTCTGCTTTTGTAACCTGAGACGGGCAGCGAAGGCTGTTGGATTAAGATACAAAGTGATCTCTTACCATCTGTTTAGAATGTCGAGTTATTTGTTTAGTTTTATAAGTCCCCATCATATGCATCAGCACTGCAACTAGACAACACTTCTAATTTACGTTGTTGAATTGTAAATGCACCATTCATCATTTTTTTATGGAACTGCGAGCCAAAAGGTTGACATAAATCAATATTTACAGCAATCACAATATGGGCTTGACTGTACCAGGAAGAAAAAAGTGGAGATGTGAATGCAGGATTTTAGGGCACACCTAAATTTATACCTGAAAGACTTATCTACTGCACTGTGGCTGCTTATCTGAAGTGGCTCAACTGTATCAGTTGTGGTAGTGTGAAATATCACAATAAATTTGTGATTCAAATAATTGGTAAATCACGCAAACCCAAACAGATTTCAAAGGTGGGTAGGTTGGTTCAGATTTGTCGGTAGTAATGGAGCCACTAGATGGCATGGAAAATTGGGCTACGGTTCCCTCATTTCCTTTCCCCTCTCACTTTTTATACTGTCTCAACGTGCAGCTCATCAATCCAGATTGTACGTGTGTGCACGTGTACAAGCCAAGGAAGCAGACATGTAAAGCAGCTGCACACAGCTTTATTCACTCATACTATCAATGTTTGAGAGGGGATCATATGTGACAGTCATACAAAATACACGCCGACCTCGGCTTGTGGCAGTCATTCAGTTAGGAAAGTTCATTTGTTTATAGATGCCTCTGCAGGAGAGCCAAGAAGGTTACAATGAACTAATACTGCAATCATATAATCGGGAGTCCGACAAAAGTCTATAATGTTAGGTAACATGATGAAGGGATCGGAGAAAGCAAATGGGCCCTGCAACATCTCTTGCTACTTGATCAAAATGGAATTTGTAGAAAAGTCTGTCACATAAACAAATCTTGAAAGCGAGAAATGCATTCATACGGTGTTTGAAACGAACATTCTTGGGGTGTAGTCATCACGCACAAGTGCGAATCTTCAGGTACTGTTGCATACTTAGGTACTTCACTGTGATGCCTAAGGTATTGTCACAAATTTGTATACTCATTCGGATGGCTCAGCTAATGTGACATACCTGGATACTCACTGGGATACTCCAGGTACTGCGACATACTCAGCGGGAACTTGAGGGCTCATAGTTCTTTTGTTAGACACACTATTAGTAATAACTAACAGACAATAATATTATAATGAACTGACCATTCTTAACAATATTGTGTTCAACAAAGAAAAAAAGCCGTTAAACTCACTTTCTCTCATTTATAGTGGGGGTCTCATTTTGGCAGACTTGGTGCCTTCGGGTGGTACGTGAGGGATTATTGTTGAACTGCCAGCTCGTAATAAGATCACATGTTAGATAACGCCAACAGGCAGAAAAAAAAAAGTGTTCCACACTTGCTGTCATGGTTAATAGCAGCACTAACTGACACTCCCAGGTTTAAAAAAAGGTGCATATATACCCCACAAAGTGATCAGGGGATGACTACTGCTGTAGCTCGGTTGTGGGAGTAGCGGACGCATTACTCGAACATTACTCGAACGTCACGAGTTTGGTCCCTGTCAGCAGCAAGTTATCTTTTTGTCTACTGTTCTTTTTTCACATTTACGTTACAATTACTAATATCTCCTACACTTCACTTAGCATCATTGTCTGTTAGTTCTCATTAATATTGGGTACTTAGTGTGATGTGTCGGGTTTTGCGGCATACTTGGGCGCCCACTGTAGTGCCTCAGCTAATGCAACATACTAAAGTACTCGGTGTGAAGTATTGCGACATACTTGAGTTACTCATTGTGATGCTTCGGGTACCGTTAGATACTCGGGTGCTGCCTCTGATGCCCCAGGTATTGGGTCATACTCAGGTACTTGGTGTGATGCTTCAAGTACTGCGACATACTTGGGTTCCTCATTGTGATGCTTCGGGTACCGTCAGATACTCGCGTACTGTCTCTGACGCACCAGGTATTGTGACATACTCCGGTAGTTGGTGTGATGCTTCAAGTACTGCGACATCCTCGGGTACTCATTGTGATGCGTCGGGTACTGTTAAATACTAGGGTACTGCCTCTGATGCCCCAGGTATTTGGACATACTCTGGTACTTGGTGTGATGCTTCAAGTACTGCGACATAGTCGGGTACTCATTGTGATGCTTCGGGTATAGTTAGATACTCGGGTACTGCCTCTGATGCCCTTGGTATTGTGACATACTCCGGTGTGATTCTTCAAGTACTGCGACATACTCAAGTACTTGTTGTGATGCTTTGGGTACCCTTAGATACTTGGGTACTGCCTGTGATGCCCCAGGTATTGTGCTTACTCAGGCACTCAGTGGTGTTTCAAACATTGTGACATTGTTATACTTAGTGTAGCGCTTTCCTTTTTGAGAATGTACTCAGAGTGGCTGGTACTGCCCGTCACCGAAGATGCGAAGGAGCGTAGCACCAGCGTGCTCCAGAAGTTCCCGTGTGCGGCCGGCCGCAACGTGGTCGCCGCCGTCCTCCACTCGCTGGCTAGCAACCTTGGGATCAACATTGCCAAGTGCGAGCCCAGCACCTTGGTGTCTGACATCGAAGTCAACTGGTGCATGGAGGTATGTGGAAGCCATGCTATTCAGCAAGCTTATGTTCAGAGCTAGTTGATGAGCAGTGGAACTGGTGCTTTTGTACAGGTTTTTTTTTATCTCATCTTTTTTCATTATAAGTACAGAAGGAGGTCTTGGAGTTGCAAAACTATCAGTGGGACCTCCTATTGGTGGCTTCGCAATACAGTTGAACCCCTTTATAAGAGGCATGCATTGGACAGCAATTCTTGTCTTTTATTTCGGGGTAGCAGGGCACCATGTGTCCATTTTCTTATCAATCCGTATTTTACTGTAGCACACTGCTGTCTTTTATACCAGTGTGTCTCTTACATCAGTGTCTCTTATAAAAGGGTTCGGACAGTATAGTGATTGATACATTATCGCTTCATTGCAATGTCAGACATCGAAGTATATGAGCTAATAAAGCAAAATAAATAATCAAAATAAGAGAAAGATGCCAACAACTACCGAAGTTTTATTCATGTTGAAGTAACTGAAATAAGTGCTACATTGGAGTCTACTAAAAATGTAGTAGTTTGCATGGCATGGAAACATAGAAATGACATCTATGAGCATAAGCTTAACTGTAGCATATAAGAAGAGACAAAAATATGCTTACAATATCTTGAGATAATATGTACAATGCCAGAGAGACGTTGCAAGGATGCATCACTGGTACTCGGTACTATACATAGCTTATTATACAGGTACCAGGTAGCTATATGCATACCAGGTTAGGTATGTTCATCATGGCTGTGCTCATTAGCTGATTTCCTGTTGTAGCTATTGAAATCGTCGTAGCGCATGGATCGCCACACACTAAACTCAATTAAGAGCCACACTTCGCAGTCTTGGTGACATGAGTGCCTTAGCAGGTGTGGGTCATTGCAGTCTGTTTCGACTACTAATTAACGAGTTGCTGTAAAGAACAGCTAGTCGATCATATAACTACTTGATTGACATCTAGCTGTTCTTCGTACTTTTCTAATTTTCCTTCTTCCTGCACTTTTGGATGCCCTGCTTTATTTTTCGTATATTTTATCTCGGGCTGTGTACATCTTGTCTTGCTGATTCAATAACTTGATCATTCGTTGTGAGGAGAAATTATGAAATTGGTAATATGACTTCATCTATCAGTTCAATGACACGACTTGTCGAAGAAAAAAAAAGTGTTAGTTTCGTTAGAGGGTTGGCGAGGCATGGTTTGCTATTGGTTGTCAGTGCATGGGCTTCTTCAGAAATGACGGTTCTTCGTGTGCCTGTCTTTGTGGCGGGTCAGTACTCCTCAGCTTTTTGTATCTGTTCGAGTTATGCTGTGTACCTTGAAGGATCACTGTGTCGTTACCGGGAATCTTCTCTTACCCGCGGCATTGGGGCGAATGGGGCTCGAATATTCTTTGTTATGATTACCACCGTTCTTCCGGAATACGTAAACTAGAGCCAACATTCAGTGCTCTCTGAACAGGTCATTTGCTTTGGGCTGCGGCTGCCGCTTGCGGAGCACGAGGCCATCCGGGACTGCGTCCACGTCTACTGCGAGTGGATGCAGGCTCTGACGCAGCCGAAGCCGTGCGTTCCCAAGCCGGTCCAGGATGACGCCAACCAGTACTTCAGGAGGATGCTCAGACATTTGTACAACCTCTTCGAGCCTCGGGAAGACAGCCGTGAGTGGCAAAGGCCTTGATTTCAATAGCAGCTAGATTGTGCTGAGGAAAATTTGTGTTTTGACACTGCAGCCTTGAATAGCTACCACAGGAGTGGAGGTAGCAAATATGAAGATTGCAGAATAACAGAAGACACACTGATTGGGAGTAGTACTAGGTAGTGTTGTACAGAATAAATTCGGCAAGTGATAAAGGTTACCCGCAGGTAGGGAATTAGAATTTGGGGCGCGGGGGCAGCATTGTCGATTGAGGTGAAAATGCTTGAGGCACGTGTGCTTAGATTTAGGTGCACATAAAAGAACCCCAGGTGGTCGAACTTTTCGGAGTCCACCACTGCGGTGTATTTTATAATCATATCATGGTATTGGGGTGTTAAACGCTAATGAATATATTATGTGATAAAGATTGATAGAAAGTTCAATAGTTCGTAGTGGGTTGCTTATTTTTACTTATGTTCCATTTGGTTTTCGCCCACAGAGCCGTTCTGGAATGCTTAGCGCAAGCTGCCCCTCATTGTTTGAGAATGTTTACGATTATTGTAGATCCCTCTGTTAAGATTGCACACAAGATGCGAATACTTGAGATTATTCCAGAGCTTGGGCGAAGACCTGTGATAAGGCCAGAATATTCGACGACACATGCATAAATACTTATGCGCTTCGCCGCTTCTTGGTTGATCAATGGCAGAGGCTCTGTTCGCCGCTGTCGGTGCCAGTGTGTAATCTGACTTCTCGTTTACTGGCCACAAGTTCGGCCAAATAATCTTTGACCTCAACATATAGTCTGCTTGCTTCATTCACGTCACGACCTTGTGACAATATGCATTAGTTTGGTCGTGAAAAGGAGACATTTCAGCTGAGGATGGTGTCTGGTGGATGTCGGCTTAGCCGATGTTGTGTATTTCCTCAATAGAGGAAATCAGTAGAGTGAATCGGTGTGCTGAAAAATGATTCACCATGACGACGAGAAGAGAATGTGTTTTGAACAATACGTAGGCGAGAACTAGGAAAGAATGCATATCATAGCGACAATATATGAAGCGTCCAGCTTTCTTCTGGAGATTTTTTTTGTCAGATATCACATCAGTGTTTCATATATGATATTAGAAAGGGTGTGGCATCATTTTTTTTAAAGCTGGATGAAAATGCTTTGCCATATTAGTGGTCTAACTTTCTTTCCAAATTTTCTTTTTTCTCTTTATTTTCTAACAAACACGACTTCGCTCGATCAGCGAAGCTTTCTTTGCAGTGTCTGCGCAATGATGAGCGTTCTGGCAAAGTGCGGTGTGTGCTGTCAGCATTGCACATGTCGGCTTCCTGCACTGTGCAAGGGCAGACAGGCCATGGGCTGTGAACAGGAGCAAATCATGCATGCATTTGCTCTTTTGACAGAGAGGTGCAGCTGCCATGTTAACATTATTGTTTAGATTGAAAGTCCCAACTCTCTTTTTTTCAACAAAAAAAAAGGCACTCGTTCTTGGAAAAAGTTTAGAACAAAAGTTCTATTTAGATCTCGATGACCCATTTCATTTAACGAATGATCCATTGTAGTCTAACGATAAAAAGTGTATTATCACTCATTGTGGTGGTTTAGTTTTCGTGGTGCTAAAAACCCCAAGTGGTCGAAATTTCTAGTGCTCCACTAAAAAAATTTCAATAATACTAATAAAAATGTTTATTATTATTATAATTATTATTATTACTATTAATAATGTGTGAGGAACATATGTAATAGTGAAAACAGCTTTATTTTGAATGCAATAGAGTTTTCAATGAAGTGTGGCAGTAATAAAAATCAACAGTAATAAATGTAATTTTGAAGTGGGGCTTCTTTTCTTTGTCTTACAGCAATGTGGAAGGCTTGGTTTTGCAAGTTAACTGTGAACAAGAGTCTCTTCGTATGAACACATAGAATGGTGTCCTTTCTTTCAGAGACCGACATGATCAGCCGCCAAGCCGTGCTCTGCCACCAGGTACTGAGGAGGCTTCAGACAGTCGCCCAGGAGTCGACGAAGATTGAGAAAGAGACATGGGATGAAATACTTCGCTTCTTGCTTGCCGTCAACGATGTGCTTTTGGCACCACCATCCAGAAAAGGTTGCTTTTCTTTAATAATACCTGCTGTTGAGGTAGTTGTCAGATGTTCAGTAATAATAGTAATAATAATAACAACGATAATAGATTCAGCGCCAGAACCACAATCCCAGAAAAGACACATACATAAGATGGGCAATATAATTTCGATACCAGTTTATTCATTTGCTCACTTTGTTGGTTAGTTAATCCTGTATTTATTTAACATACTGTGGCTCCTTTGGGGTTACTGCCAGAGTGGAGGTCATGCACCACATATAAAGTGCAGATAAAGTGTGAAAACATCGCATTTTACAGACACCTCGTGATGAACCATTCTAGTCTAAAATTGTATTTAAACATATCAGTTCTTGATTTAAATGCTAAAGGATTCACTATGAGAGCTACGAGTACAAGAAGGATCAGCAAAGTTAACATGTTCGTCTAAACAATTGAAAAGTGATGAATTACAGATGACAGGAAGTGGAAACATTCAGTGTGGTGGTGTATTGATAAAGAATTTAAGGCTCAGAATATAAAGTTGAAAAAAAGGTGAAATATGTCTGTCATATTCACCATATATGAAAGACTGCACAGACTGTAAGGTGAGTCTCAGTGTTGAAGATATCAGCTTTATGAAAAGCATTCTATGCTGCAGACACATAATAAAAAATTGGCTGGATTAGTGTCTTATAAGTCATTAGATTAGCATCCTTTAGAGCCACATGAGTCTGTTGATTGTAGTCGACTTTTTAAATGATTTATTGCATATTGTTGCAATATGTTTGCTTCTAGAGACGTAAGCAAAAAGGAGTATAAGTTGTTTGTATTCTCATTTTTTAGTAGTGTTAGTGTTCCCTAATTGCTATTGTAGGGAATGAGAACATGCCAAGTGAAAAGTTGACATTGGCTTGGTTGTCAGCACGCCATGCAATGTCACTCTGCGTAATTGAGGTAAAGCAGAAGGGGGGTTGCAGGTACAGCACTCCTTCTGGTCGGTCAGTCTTGGAGCATCCAGGCGAGTGCTTCATGCAGCGAAGGCTGTAAAACGTGGCCGAGTCCTTTCTAGAATTCCGTGTAACACGAAAGCAGAACGTGTCTTCACAGAGGTATTTGAGCACTTATTGTGCATTGTTCAGTCGCAAAGGCAGAGGGGTGAATGCTACACCAACAAATTGCAAAGTTACACGAAGAATGGCAAGCAGCTCGAAACTTGCAGTACGCACCTCGGGCAGAAAGCTCGTTTGAAATGAGGATACACCAAAAACTGTTACAGCTTGACGTAGGAAGTGCTCTGTTCAAACAGGAAGGGAGACGCACGAAACGAACGCACAGGTTCACAGAACATGCGCAAAAAACTGTCACAATTTTTACTTTGTGTGCGAGCGGCGGGCTTCTTTCATAAACCCGGCCGCGGCAGCGAGCGAAGTGACCTTCGTGTTCTTCTGAATCACGAGCCTGACAAGCGTGCACACAGGAGAGACAATGCTTCGTGGAGGCCCGGGTTCATGGAAACATGAGAGGTGACGACCTCTGGAGCGTGCCAAATGTGAGCTCTTAGTGCCATCTCACTATTGATGGTGAAAACCCGCTGAAGTTGCGGGGCTCCGAGGACTGCCAAACGGTACATGGTGTATATAAATAGCTTGCTGTTAGCAATTTTGACAACGTATGTTCCATGGCCTAGTGGTTATTTCCGTGCGCTTCAAAGTTAGAGGTCACTAGTTCGACGCCCCGCAATCAAACCCTTTCTTCTTGTTTTTTTTTTGCAATCTGTTGGCATATGTTTTGCAATGTCGTATCGGTGACAGAAATACGTCAGAAAAGCTGTAGTGGGACCCCAGCATAAAATAATTTTGTGGTAAAAAAAGGTGCCATGCACAGCCCATCTTGCTAGTGATCTTTTTCACTTTCGAAGTGAGATAGCTGGTTGCCATCTCGCTTTTGAGGTAGCTTCTTCTGTTGAAAATTTCATATCCCTGTGTGCGTAGTATTGTACCTCATGTTATTTCCGCATGTACTCTTTTTTTTTTGTAACGAATGTTAGAGGTAACATAAATCCAGTAGAATTTATATAAGAAGAAAAAGAATTGTATGAATAAGCATTCTTTTTGTCTTGGCTCTATTGCAAGTGTTACAGTGTGTGAGCTTTACAATCAAGTGGCCGGTTCAATAAAGCTTTTCTGAAGTCCCGAAGACATTGTTACAATGGTGTTTGTATTTTTTGGCCATGCGTGGCATCATTATAGCAATGCCTTATTCTCATGTTGATAGCACCTTAATATTCTCGTATATTGATAGCTTTTGTGGCCCATCTGTTTGATGCTTGTAATGGCTGAATGGAATCATGCTTGCCATCACAGAAGACATGGGCAGCCACATGTGCGAGCGCATCCTCACGGCGCTGTTCGAGGTGTGGCTGCTGGCGTGCAGCCGCTGCTTTCCATCGCCAAACCTGTGGAAGACGTTCCGCGAGCTCTGCTGCACATGGAGGCATCGGGGAGCGCTTGTCGAGCAGTGGAACCGCATCAACCTTGTTCTGACGGCTGCCGTGCTGCGTCTCATGTACGGTCACCACTACCCGGAGCTCAAGCTGGGTGAGCCACTTTTTCTCGGCGTTCGTGACGAAATGTTGACCACTGGTTACTATGGCCAGTTACAACATAAGAAAAAATGCCAGCTTTGCCCCCGCAGTCATTGCTGTTCCTCTCAAAGAAAACTTCTGTGAATGCTCCTTCTAGCCGTGCTTATTTATTTTTGTGACATCAAGCACTTCTCAAGCGCTTTAGATAGATAAGTTTATGATACAGACATACATTTACCCTTCTACTTCTAGGTTAGAAACTTTGTCTTGGTAAATTTTATCAAGCGTTTCGACATTGCTGCTCGACCAAATGTAATGTACAGTAGTAACAACAAACCTTCAACTCTTAATATGCATAGTGTTTCCACTGTCTGAGAAAAAGTACTTACAGTTAAAGCAGGAACTGGCGTACGGGTGTAGGGCAGGCGTGTGTGGGTTTTGTGCAGGGAGCCGACATATTTTCTTAGGTTGTAACTCAGCATATTCATGGAGGCAATTGGTTGCTACGCTTCAGTCATCCACGCCGAACCCTCTCCTGCCTCCATAAGTTGCATTCGACTGTAGTTCCATCGAGGGTCTCTGTGAATACTCGCAGAAGACGAGGCGGTGAGTCTCGTCGCAGAGCTGAGCGGCGAGCAGCTGGCCCAGGCCTGGTACCGCTTCCTGCACGTGCTGGGCAACCCCGTAGACCTGTGCCGTCCCGAGGTGGTGAGCCAGACGCCGGCCTTCTACAGCCTTCTGGAGGCCAGCGACTCCATCGTTGACCCATTCCAAAATCCATGTCTGGCCGCGCTGCCGCACATCTTTCACAGGGCCATGATGGGCGTTGCCGCCCTCGTCGATGCTACTCTGGGTACGGAGTTACCATTTTGCATTTTGAAAGCCTACATCGTACTCGTGCCGCAGAATATAGAATAATACTGTTAAAGTTCGTGAAACCGAGAAAGGTATTTCTCGGTCGTAGCGACACCTGAAAGCTGCTATGGCAATTTCATTTTCACTAAACACACAATACAGAAGAGAGGCAATCGTGCGAAGCTATGGCATACTGCCAATATGCAAAGACAGGGAGAAAGAACGCAAAGATTGTGTGAGCAGGCAGAGCAAGAAAGTTGCAATTAGGTGATCAGTGGGATTTTTCACATTAGCCATTAAATAATGAAAGCAACCCCTGTGTTCCTTTGGAAGCATTTACCGAGATGACAGACCATCACTACCCTCAGGGGGGGGGGGGGGGGGTGATGGGTGCAGTGTACAGCCTCTTCAGAATGAAAATAGGCTTCGTCACTGGAACAGCTTGATGTTTTATTGCGATAACATTGCAGTGCGTGCCCAAAGAAAAATTTTTGTCAAGATTAGAAAGAAATCGCTGCATAACTTACCGATTTGTTTATGAAAAAGGTTCATTTAGCACCATGATAGTTTTCATTCAAGTTTGGGGCAACATTAAGCTTTATTGGTAACTGCCGAGAAACGAAAATTTTTTGTTACATTGGGAAATTTGTAAGACCCGATTTCGCTTAATGGAACTTTAAAGGAGCCCTGAAACACTCTTTCAAGGAACCATGAAATGAATTTACTGAAAAAGTTTATTGCCCCAGGAATTCAACGCCGCAAACATTTTAAGAATTCGTCCAGTACGAGCGAAGTTACAAAGAATTGTCGCAGGCTGCAAACGTTCTATCCTCTCTCGTCCCTGTGGCAGCGCTGGAGGCTAAGCAGGGAGGGATGGCAGGGGCAAAGAGTATGTCACGTGCGCCTCGTGACTTTGAGCACATTTTCTTGTTTTTATTCTTTGAATACGCGACTTTTTCAGTGTGATCGCGTGCGCACGCTTGGACAAGTCGCGGCATCCCGCGGCGATTTCTGTGACGATCGAGCACGCCATGTTAAAATCAGCCAATGGCTGATAGGTGGTCTTCTGCGCACGATATTCTTCTATCATCTCTCGAGAAAAGAGAAAGCAATTTTTAGCTTACTTTGATAATTTATTGTAAAATTCAGGCCGCATGCTGCGCTATAATATTTGTCTCGTGTGTTCTCGGGAGCATCTACTACCGATAGACAGCGTTTTCTGACCATGCTCAGAAAGTTTTGCAGGGCCCCTTTAAGGGGGTGCATTGCATTCAAAACTTGCTTTCAATTTATCAATTTAGGTGAAAGTTCCCAAGTGTAGCAAACAAGTGCTGTGGAAACCCGCAATCTGGCGGAAGGGTTAAGAAAGGGAAAAAAAGCTTTTTTCGGCATTTTCTTTCTTATAAATGCCTTGTGGCTTGGTGCTAAAAGCGAGTAGTTGTCTTTTAATACTCATGGCAATGAGTTCTGAAAAAGTAACTTATCAGTCTATAATGAGTTTGCCTCGTAGGTTAAAACAGAAATTGAGGTTACGAATTTCATCTTCGAATTTTGTGCCATAACTTCACCATGTAAACGTCGTCATTGCATCGCAAATGTCAACATCCTTTTGCATATTTCGGTCACATTGGTTCAAAGAAGTTTTGTGAAATTTGGTGTGAAGGGGCACTGACACAAAGACTTTGGCGACACGTTTTTCTGCTGCAATGTGTTCCTCTGGGCCTGTTAGTCATAACACGACACATTGTTTGCTGCAGTACGTGACATATTATTAATTACAGTCCTCTGTTTATCAGACCAGTCTCAGTTTTGGTTTGAGAGAGCTCCAAAAATGAGGCCCGTGTGCTCAGATTTGGGTGCAACGGAGAGAGAGCTCCGTTGTAGGTCCGTGTGTTCAGATTTGGGTGCACGTTAAAGAACCCCAGGTGGTCGAAATTTCCGGAGCCCTCCACTACGGCCTCTCTCGTAATCATATCGGGGTTTTGGGACGTTAAGCCCCACATATCAATCAGGTTATCACTTAAATTTTACCTAAGTGAAGTTCTGCTACCATTCAATATTTTTTCCAGTTTTTTGAGCGACAAAGAATGACATTTGCTCATGCCTTGTTGTAAGTTAAAGAATATTGTGCAGGGTTAGTTCGATCACAAGAAATATGCTCATTTTCTTCATAATGTATGAGTACAAGGAAAATGTTTTTCTCTTTAGTGTCCCTTTAACAGAGCTTGTCCACTGCAGAGCTTGTCATTTTGTAGTTAAAACTGCTGCTCTTGCAATTTTGCTCCACCAGGCATAAGTCCCATTGCAGTAGAAGAGGATCACCAAAAGTTGACGTCCCACAGCAGTTCCTCCTCTGCGGGAAGCGGACCGGTGACCTCAAACACCGGTTCAGGAACGACCACGACACCTCCGCATCAAAGGAAGGGGGCCACGCGTATTGCCGCCATCTCGAACTTGAAAGGTGTGTGCTTTGCGATTTGTCTGTAATGAAGTATGAAATGTCTATTCATTAGCCAATACACATGCTTTCTTTAGCTTTGAACACAACAGTCAGCGACAGCGTGGTTTTTAATATGAATATCATTGGTCCGTGCAAGAACAGTCTGAATAATACACCGACAAATTATATTAGCTCATTGTGATGTCATGGGTTTTTGAATGTTTATCAGTTACTGTATTTACTCGCATAATGAACGCACTCTCATAATAAACGCACCCCCGACTTCAGTGGTCAAAATTGGGATTTTTCTTTTCCCCGCATAATAAACGCACCCCATACATTCGTTCACTGCAGTCCCGCTTATCCGCACCTGGCGTCTTCTTTCCCGCCGGATCTCTTCGGTTTATTATTACGCTGACCCCCCTCGGCCATCTCGGCTCGCTCTCTGTCCCACTTAGCCTGCTGTTGCATGCCGTGTAGTCTTTTCTTCTGTCTGTGCACGGCACGTACCTGGTCTTTTTTGAATATCTATGCACTGCAGCTGGGTTCACGAATGGTGCTAAGAGACATCGCATCTGACAAGCACACAATGAGCAAAGGTCGCGAAACTTCCCACTCCAACCGACGGTCACTTCTTGCAAAATACGAAACTTTAAGGCCCTACCACATGCACACAATTTTTGAGCGACGACAGGATTTGCTGTCGCTATGGCTGTTGCGAAGGACCATTCGTCGCCATCGTGTCGCAGGTCTCTGGAAAACCAGAAAAAAAAAATTGTTGTTGCCTAGAAAAGACTGTGACTGTTTCCACAATGTGGTTCCCGATTCTCGCTTCAGTTACAAGCGAGGCGGCCGCCCGTATTTTGTCGTTAATCTTGTCATAGAAGGTTTGTTTTGTTGCTATGGTGGTAGCTTGCTGCAATGTTGGTTCATTGCAACCATCTGAATGGCGTCGCGGTCGTCGTTCGAGATCGTTACAAAGTTGGCTAAGTGCATCGTGGCATCATAACGCACCCATCTGGGCGCCCCTCAAGATCACAGCCGATGCCACTTTTGCGGTTAAACGATTGCGAGAAAAGATAGCCGCGAAACGCTTTTATTGCGTGCACAGGCAGGGCAGGAAGAACTTGCAGAAGATAACACTTTCAACCACTCAAGATGAGTGTAGTGCAACAGAGAAGCCGAGCGACCTAACTTTTTTTTGCATTACGGCATTTTTTTTTTGCTCATACCGAAAAAGTTATTTCTGAAATTTTCCTTGCCTAATAAACGCACCTTCAACTTTTCGCCGATTTTTTTAGAAGAAAAGTGCTGATTGGGTTTATAAATACGGTAATTCTGCTGTAAAAGTATACCTTTCTGCACACGCTTTTAGCTTGTAAACATAAGCGCCCTGGCACATTTGTAGGATGTTACGATGTCAATTCACCCACACACATTTGTTATCCAAAGGCTTAGTGTTCGCGCTAGGGGAGCAAGAACATGATGAAGACTCAGGCTCTCAACTCGTGCAAGAGCTGGCACACCACGTTTTCGTGCATAGCGATTGCACTGTTATGATCGTGCCGTATACAGCATCATTGTTTTTGTAAGTGTTCATTTTCGTGTCAATGGCACTGTTCGATGCCCCTGACATATGCACCTACTTTGTCGATGGTACGCCCAATACTTCAAAGGTATGTAGTAGCTCTGCAGCAACTTTCATCGTTTTCTTCTAGCGGGCATGTCCAAGCCGGGCGTGTTCTCGAACATCCGTGCGAGCACATCGTCGGCCTTGGCACCTGCGGCAACGACGGGAGCATCGCTCGCCGCGGCTCCACTGGTTCCGCCACCCACGCCGCCAGCCACCACCGCACCCCAGCAGTTGAGGCCCACACCCGCACCGATGCGCCCGCGGTGCAACTCGGTGCTGCACCTGTACGGCGCCTGGCTGTTTGAGGCTGCCCTGGTGGGGTCTGAACTGGATGCCCAAGGCAGTTCTGGTCTTGTTCAAACTGACGGTGAGGAGACCTGGTGGGCGTAATCTATTTTTATCTAACCGAGAAGCTTCACTGATACTAATATGCTACAGACTAACACTGCTGGAACGACAAGGATAAAGGAGAGTAACAAACATGAGTAGTAATCTCTCCTAACATAGCCTTACTGTACACAATGGAAGGTCAACTGGGACAAGATTGTGTACTGTGTAAATACCGTAATTACTCCAATCTAACGTGCACCTTTTTTCTGGTTAAGCGAGTTCATAAATCGCATGCGCGTTAGAATCGAGTTAAAAAAAAAAATGAATACGGTCATTCTATTGCCATCGGCATTTCCAAAATGGCCGCCCCCGACATGCGTCGGCATGGCGCGTCGGCCATTTCTGTCTATGTGTTTCCCATGTGTGGCACTTCGTACGTGTGCAGAGGAGTTTGTAATCGCTTAGTTTATTAGCATCAACGGCATGGAAGGGCCGACATGAAAAACTCGACGAGGGCACCACGATGCTGCTTTTAAAAGAAAAGTCTTCGCGTGTGCCGAAACAGACGTAAATCGGGCCGCATCGCGGACGTTCGGAGTTTCCGAAACGTGCGTGTGGGACTGGCGGAAACAAAAGCAGAAGATTGTCGACAGCAAAAGATTGTCGACAGCAAAGATTCACGCTAAGGCTTCAGTGGACCACAGCAGGGTCGGTTTCCACGAATTGAAGAGCTGCTCGCCGAGTATGTGCTTGAGCAGCGAGCGGCACAGCGGCCCGTGACGACAGAACTGCTCCAAGTGCAGGCTATGCAGTTAGCTTTAGAAAAAGGGCTAACGCGAAGCCAGTTGAAAGCGAGCAGGTGCTGGCTAACTAACTTTAGGCTTTATGCTAACTAACTTTAGGCTTTTCCCTCCGAAAGCAAACGGGCATGGGCCAAAAATTGCCGGAGGAGTACGAAGAAAAGCTTATCAGTTTTCAGAGGTTCGTCCTAAACTTGCAGCACAACAACGGCTACCTGCTTGGGCAAATCGGGAATGCCGATCAGACGCCTCTTTACTTCGACATGCCTGGCACCACAACCGTCGAGAAGGGGGCGAAGCAAATTCGCGTGCTGACATCGGGCCACGGTAAAACTAGAGTGATGGCAATGCTCCGTTGCACGTCCGATAGGCACAAGCTTCTCCTGTACCTCATATTTAAACGCAAGACGCTTCCGAAAAGAGTCGTTTTCCTGAGTGGTGTGATCGTGCGGGCCAACGAGAAAAATGGGTGCGCGTTGCAGTCAATGTCTTACTTTTTTTTTTTCGTCGTGGAAACTGGGTGCGCGTTAGAATCGAGGGCGCGGTAGATTCGAGTAAATACGGTAGTGTACTTTTGGATAATGTAGATGGGCAAAGCTTTTAGCAAGCTAATGTGTAAGAACTCTACAGTAGAATTAGTCAGTGAAGAATAAATCACACGGTCACTCATGCATTTGGCCAAGATGTTTCAAAGGCAAAAGCAACCTTTCTCTTCTTTTTCTTATCAATGAATTATAAAGATACCCCCCATTCATTTCTGAAGAACTTTCTTTACCAAACATGATTCTCGCTGCCTCTGGGATGATCCCGCTTTTGACCAAGTGACGAACTTCATGTGATGTCGCAAGATGTGATATCATAACGACATGACAATTTGGTTAACTGGGACATCTTTATGACTTTGCTTGATGCCGTCAACCACTGGTGATTTTTTGCAATCACTCTGTGTTGTTCACCAAAGGTCACTTGTCACAGAGGCATGTGAGGATTCTGCCTTAATAATGATACTAAGAGGCTTGCAAACAAAAGTCATCTGAAAGTTGTGCTGTGGCTACCTATTCATTAGGAGCAGTGGGGGCTGGCATACAAATCACAGACTGAAAGAGCAGATGATTAAAGACAAGCTTACAATTGTGGAATTCACTTCACGCTGTGTGCACACACAGGCACCGAGATCAGCATGCACTCGCGCTCAGGATCATTGCTCGAGTCCGGTGGAAGCGGCAGCACACGCAGTGCGGCCTCGGCCTCGGGAGGCGGCTCCGCGTCTTTTCCCGGAGTGCCCGACTCCATTGAAATCCCGCCGTACCTCAGCATCGAGAGCTTTGAGGCTGGCCAGGCCGAGGCTGTGGGCACACTCTGCCGCCTGTTCTGCTCGAAGCGTACTGGCGAGGAGATACTGCCTGTCTACTTTTCCCGGTTTTACCTCGCCCTGCAACACTGCCTCGGCAATATCGAGGTACGTGTTAGCTTTTTTTTTACAGCGAAGCTTAGTCTACCCTATGTTGTTGTTGTTGTTGTTGTCATTACTGTCGTCTTCATAGTAGTAGTATTAGTGATAGTAGTAGTAGTAGCAGTAGTAGTACACTCAAACCTCGTTATAACATTACAGGAATGTAACGAAATAATGCATGTAATGAAGTAAATGAAATTTTCTTTGAACCATGCATTTTAAACCTTGTTGTAACGAACTAAAATTGACCGGTAAAAGGATAGAACAAACTAAATTAGTCTATCAAATAGTCTATCAAAAAAAGAAATCGACCGTAGTGTGTTAACTATAGCGTTTTCTGCGGAGTTTCACGCTCGTTCGGCTCGGCTCTTTCGAAAATCCCGCGCCGACCTTACAGCCACGCTCCGCACGGCCAAGAGAGCCATCCTCCTCGCACAGCCAGCAGGGAGGATTGAGGAAGCGCTCAGCGGGTCACATGACCGAGAAGCAGCGCCGCGGTGCAAAGCGATTTCCCTCTCAAGACTGCAACGACTGCGTCTCCGCTGCTACCATGGCTGCTTACTCTGCACCGAGAAAGGAGGACTCTCCACGACAGCTTTCTTTTGGAACAGGCGCGTGGAACAAGCGTAGAACAGGCGTGTCGCAGATCGGTATTTGAAAGAGAGCAAACAATCGGCCACAGTCTTTGCTTTCCCTTTTTTCTTTTCCTTCTTCCTGCGCAGCGTTGAGAGGTGCCGCCGTGGGATTAGGCATAGTGCTGAGAGCACTTTCGGAGAGCGGTATGTTCAAATTAACCGTCTCAACTGCTTGCGCATTCGAATTACAGGGCGTTCTCGCCCATTGGAATACTCGTAGCTTTGACAAGACCTCAGCGTGAGTTCGAATTATCTGAAAGTTCGAATTAATGAGATTCGACTGAGTTTATATTCTATGGCACGCGTGGTCACGTAGTGGTACATCAGGCCGCAAGGCAGTTTCCTTCTTTGCATGCTTATAGGTGCGTGCCCATCTGAGCATACATTGCCACAATCTGTTATAATCAGTATAACGAAATAATGGATATTTTGAAATAATTGTGGCTCCCCTTCAAATTCGTTATAACAAGGTTTGAGTGTAGTAGTAGCAGTAGAAATGCAGTTAAGCCCCTTTATGAGACACTGATGTAAGAGACAGTTGGATCTAAAAGACTGCAGTGTGCCGACGATAAAACGGTTAGATCAGAAAATGAGGATGTGGCAATCTGTATAAGAGACATTTCATACAAGGGACAAGAACTCCTCCGGAGTGCGCGCTTCTTATAAAGGGGCTCAACTGTAGCAGTAGTAGTAGTCATGCAGGTCGCATGATCGTAGGGCAGAGCGGATAAAGAAATGTAGCGAATGGATGGTGATGCTTGCGTTACTGTGCAGCCATAACAGTACAGTCGAGCCCCCATATAATGGCCCCACTTAAAACGAGCTTTTCGCTTAAAACGAACAACATTCGCGTGACCCTGAAAATATACATTGGTTCAATGGCACAAAATTGCACTTACAATGAACGTCTCCGAACGCCACAGATAATTTATTGCGAAACAGCGTCGGCGCTCAGCCGACGTCCTGGGAAACCACTTTCAACCACCGATCAACCGTCGGCGAGGTGCCCATACATTCCTATTGTTAAACACCGGCCCTGCCTCCGCGCCCCTCTAGTTGCCGCTCTCCCGATCCCGATCGCTTTTTGTTACGCACCCCTCTGTGCTTTGTCCCCCCCGCTACTCTGAGCACCTCGCATCGCCAGACAAGGCCAGTGTTTTCGCACTGCCACTGGTCTTTCAAAGACAAGTCGGCCATCCCCTCTGTTATTGATCGCTGGTACTGTGGTTGGCGTCGCTGGCCTGGAGTGACCAGGCCATTTGCCAACATCGTCGGCCACCGACTGTATCCGATTGTCTGCATCTAGTGCACTGCGCGTACGCTACCCCACCGACTCTGATAATTCGCGATTCGTTTTGTATTTAGGACCTGTTTTCGCTCACTTCGCACTAAGCTCAGCATGCCCTCCGCACACGTGCGGAAGCGTGAAAACGACGGTTAATTTGCGCGGTACGAATTGCGAAATGTTGAAGTCTGTGAGGCCATGCAAACCCGGCCAGCGCAACAAAACGATTTTTTGACCTCGACCGCCGATTCTTTGAGCACCGCTGCGCGCGTCTATCCATGTGTCCGTGCTTTGACTTCTGTGCGCGGAGGCACTCTTTCAAAATTTTCTACGTGCGAGTTGCGCATTTCGCAGACCTTTCAAGCAAGCTACCCGACCTACCTCCTTCCCGCGTGTTTTCGTTTTCAAGGTCGCCCTTCTCGCCGTGTCCTTCCCCTCTCTTCACTACTCAATCGCAACTCCTTGCCATTCTTGTCTCGCAAATCTGCTCTCCTCTCTTGATCACAACCCCTTCGCTCGTCTCTACCGCTCTGCGACGCTAGCCACGCTGGCTCGAGTAAGTTTCGTTTTCTGACTAGAAATGGGCTCAGAGCTGTTGCCCGTGTTCTGGCATGTTTGTCGCGTGTGCGCATCTTGCTCGCTCTTGGTATGCGTGTGTGACCAGGATGGCAGGCGGGAGAACTTGCACGCTTTTTCCTGCTGCTCAACAAAACGTCAAAAGTGTGATCGCTTAGGCTTGAGCCTAATCCGCGCGTTAGGTGCGGCGTTGCGGAGTTCTTGCGCATAGCTGTTGACCACCTGGCAGCCAACTTTTCGCTTCGGGCGTCTTGGTATTCAGGTTGTGGAGATGGTGAATATTTCGTGGGCAGTAGTGACGGCTACATGCACGCGAAACTAGTTTTCGCGAGGCCGACTTTGTCGACGTCGGGCCCGATGCTGAGCCTGAAGCTTCCGAACAGGATCACTTCGGCGGCGATTTGTGGCAGTGCGCCGTCGACTCCTGCCTGGCAGAGTGGGTGGGACATCTGTTGCGATGGTTTAATTGCACTCGATTATGATGCCAACACCACGTAATCGTGCACGAATTAGGGCATTGTGACTTAAGTACGTGAGAAGAGCGATTTAGAGGGATCGAATTGCGAGAAGGACGAAACTTTGGAGCCAGTGCCTCATGTAGCTTATGCCATGTGCCTCGGTGAAGAGCACGCTGCTGTTTGAAATAAATTCGAGACCGCCCCTTTTGCTTCTGCTCTTTGAAACACGTACATCGCAGAATTTTCGGCCAGAAAATTATGTGTTTTCACTCGCAACTTTTTTAATAGCTGTGCTTCATTTACTATGAACTTCTGGATACAGTGAATGGATGCCGTGTCAGGCTCAGGTTCGTTATAACGGGCTCGACTGTAAACATATAGCTACGCAGTAGCAATGTTTTTAGACTATCTGCTCCCGGAACTTCATTTGGACATGCTTTGACCTGCATATTGAGGCACTATATTCAGCATCACAAGTGTAATACAGTGAGCATCAACCAAGTCCACCACCTATAAACCCTGATATTTCTTTCACTTTGAAACATATAGTAGGTGCTTTTTAGATGTCTCAAATATTCTTTAGACACCCTAGTCTAAAATATTATATTACTGTATTAATGTACCTTCAATATTGATAAGAGCAGCATCACCCTTTGTCAGCCCACATGTAGAAGGTCTTTTTGAGGCATGCCTTTATATCACCCATTAGTCTGTACTTGTACTGGTTGTGAACTAAGTGTGTGTCTTGTGCTACCTCAGCTGCGGAGTCAAGTGGTGGCCAGCATCCTGCTCAACTCGTGCAACCTCTTTCGCCAAGACCTTGAAGGAGTGAACGTCCTGCTGCCGCTCTTCCTGCAAGCTCTTGAATCAGTCTTCTGCGCCGATAAAGATTCCAAGATCAGGTGGGTTGAAAGAGCCATTGTCCCTTTTGTATTCATATGGACTCTGTATGGTATTGCATCTATACAGAGTCCCGTATGAATTCCATATCATAACATACCTTCATAACATATAACATATATCATAACATATAACAACATACCTCATTGCGGTATCATTTTTGAATTTTTTTATCCTTATCCTCATAGGTCCCTACCCAATGTGCCCCAGGTTGAACTGCGTTGGGCTTCTACACACCTGTTGCTGTCAATGCTTCCTCTACCATTGCACTATGGAAACCTCACTTTGAAAGGTGAGCTTACGGTGCTCAACCACAGTCGTAGGCACGACTTTCTCACTGTGGATGCGAAGCAGTGTTTACGATTGGGGGAGGAGGAGAGCACTGGTGTAACTTGGGTGAGAGCAAGCTGTGGTGAGGCTTGAGGTAGACAGGTGCCCCTTTTGCACCCCCCTGCCGAAACCCATGTGCTTAAAAGGGGAACTCCGGTGCATTTTTATACATACTGAGATAATGCTGTTTTCTAATTTTATTGACAGTCCTGAAAAAGCAAGGGTGGTTCATTTTGCCCAGGCACTCGTCAATAGTTTTAATTAAGCAGCAACGATGAGTCAAAACAGAAACTGAAACAGGGAGCGGCTCTGTCCATGGTGGGTATCTGATGACGTCACAAGAATCCGTCGCCGATGACATTCACGAGATCCCGCCACGGCTGGCCAGGGTATAAACATAGCTCTCGTACCTCGATTTTCGGATACGCGATAAGCAAGTGTACAATGTCACCTGATGCGGAATCAAGCTGTGTCGCTCGTCTGAACTTACCAGTGACAAGTTCAGGGATAATTGCAGCTACTATCTGAGCGCGGAAGCATCTTTTTTTGATTTCGACCCTCCGGCCCCTGAAGCATCTGACATGCCCTGAATCTATTTCCTCGTTGCTCAATATTGTAAGACTCGACGTCAACAACTACTAACACGCCATATGAAGCCGACAAAATTGAACTGGGCTCACGTTGTTGTCACCTCGTAGAAAAAATCATGCGCTGCATCCATCTGCTGATAAAGGTCGCGTTTTTGAAAAAAGAGTATGCCTTGACGTCATATACACAGGGTGACGCTAGCTTACAAGTGTGATTCCAGAATCACTTACCAGTTTTAAAATTTGATTTCTAAAAAACTAAATGACCTATAGTTGTATAATTTGGCACATATCGCCAGGGTATCAACACGAACACATGTTCGAAGTTGTATTGAAATTGGTGAATATCTAAAGAACGCCGGAGTTCCCCTTTAACTAATAAAAAAATTCTTGCTTCTGGAACCATAGCTGTAAAGATTAAACAGCTCTGAGAATTATAACTCACCATCGACATCAGAGGTGCTCCTGGCAGAATAAAAGAAAAAAAATATGTGTGCTGGCCTATGCGGGATGATGCTGTGATATTGTTTGTGGAATTGACAGCTTCTTTACAAAGTTGTCACAGTTACTGTGGTGATCGTAGTACTCTTTTGGTTGTATCAAGCAGAAAAAAAATTTCAATCATTCAGACATACATGTAGGGATAGAGGCTGATAAAAAGGGTTCCACACTTGCTGCCATGGCTACCACCGGCACTGACTGACACTCCTTTAAATGCACATACATATCCTATAAAAAGGACGGGGGGATAGCCCCCGTGGTAGTTCAGTTGGTAGAGCATTGGACTTGTCACTTGAAGGTCGCAGGTTCGGTGCCCGCCCACGGCAAGTTATCTTTTCGTCCACATTTCTTCATTTACATCACAATTGCTTTTAATAACATCTGACATACTTTCCCTGGCATTATTTGTCTGTTAAATCTCATCAGAATACGTGTCTCGTCTACTTCATTGCCGCCAGCTGGCTCGCGTCAACACTGAAGCCAAGCAACAGGATCGCAAGCTTGAATATGATGCCTCTCATCGTGCCGTGTCTTTCAGCCCTGGTGACGAAGTCCTCCTTCTTACACCCATTCGCACTCCCGGACTGTGCGAGAAGTTTCAATTACGTTTTATTGGCCCCTACACTGTCTTGGAGCAAACATCTCCTGTGAATTATCGCGTGGCACCCGTTCTTCTTCCGATGGACCGCCACTACAGGGCAGCAGAAATAGTCCACGTATCCCGCATGAAGCCTTTCATACGGCGTTCATCTTCGCTTTAAAATGCGGCCAAGAGCTGCGGTCAGGATGACCGCTTTCACGTGGGGGGGAAGTTAGTGTAGGCATTCATTAAGCACATCTACTTTCTTTACACATATTCATCATCATGAGTAATCGTCATCTTCATCTGCTGTGGGGACTTGGCTTGTCTGAGTTCTGTGCCTTGGGCGTGGTCGCTTCATCGTGTCTTCTGGGCCTAATAAAGGTTGCCTTCACCGTTACCTCACAATATTGTGTCTAACAAACAAAACGAACCCTTAAATGTAAACTTTTTTTTTTCATTTATAATTTGTGTAATTCTTTTTCTGGCTAACAACTCTGCCTGCATAGTGATTATTTGTCTTTAATATTACTATTTTAACATACATTGTATTAAACTCAAACCTCACAATAACATACATGAATATTACAAAATAATGGTTATTACAAAGCAAATGAATAGACTTGCAATAGATGCAGTGCTAGGAAATTACCATTTTAACAAATTATAACAAAGTTTGTTGTAAGGAGGTTTGAATGTGGTTCCATGCCAGCTGTCTAGAAACAGAAGCGGAAAACGCAGGCGAAAGTAGTTGGAAACTCATGATACAAGCACTCAGCTTGTGTGTATCATCCTACTTTTGTCCTTGTTTTCTATCTGCACTGTTTTGTGACATCATGTATGGTCATGAACTAGCTCTAATGTGCCTGCTTAGTCCAGTACTATTTAAGCAAAGATTTTGAAGCTGTGAGAAATGCTGTGTATCGATAGTCAGTAAAATGAATGAAAGAACTGTGCTATATGTACTTATTGCATGTTATTGTCTTGTTGAAATTGTTATTCCAGATTTTGGCACGAACCAATCCATCACATTTCAGTCACTGCGAGCACGGCTTATGAACCTCCTGATTGGTGCATTGCAGATAGAAACAGATTCGACGAACACCCAGATGTTACTTGGTAAGACAGCCTACCAGAGGATCTTTGTTCTAGTTGGTGTAGGTGTAGGTGAATTTACAAATGCTCTATGTATTGTTGCAAAGCATATTTTATTATACTGCATAAAATTTCTTTAGTACTCCTCCTACCTATGGCCCTGACTAAGCTGGCATCAACATAAAAGTCAGACCTAATGAAATGAAATTGTGTGGAAAAGCTGATTCCAGTCTTCTAATGTCCTTTTCTTTGTCTAAGAATTTTCACATCAAGCGTCGCGCACAGCCTGGAAAACCACAGCTTATGGTTCGTTAATAGCATTTGCTTGCTGCTCTTTTGTAGGTGGCTTGCTTTTTTGCGTCCAAGATGCAACGGCTTACGAAGAAGCCAACCAGGTGACCCAGCCGGGACCTTCCGGGGGCCAGGACAATGCCAGCATGACTTACTCTAACCTTCTGTGCTCAGGTTAGTACTGCAAGCAATATTGTAGTGATCACATGTGACATATGGTGTGCAATGATTGAAGTCTTAGTATTGCATGCATTGAATCTGCTACGGCATTGTGTAGATGACAATGCTGTTGTTTTGCATAGCAGTTCCGCGCTTGCAAAAGGTAGCAAATGATGTCCCTAATACAACACGCTGTCATGAGTCAAGAGGTTAATGAAGGCAGCAGTCGCAGTGTTCAAGACTAGACGTACTTGTGTCAGAAAAAAAAAACAAAAAAACACCATATCCTCGAAGTGAATGATGATAGAGGAGCTTGGTTGGTGTAACCAGTATGGCTGTTTCAACAGCAGACGCGCTGGCGTCAAGCTACACTCTATGTGCCCCTCAATGCGTCTGTGTGCACAGCACCTTCACGTGCGAAGCTATATAAGAAAGTCTAATGAAGGGAACAGGGTTGCTCGTTACCCGACCACTCGGTGTGTCTCTTGACTCGGGCGATTGCGTAGACGCCTATGTTGCACTGACCGGAAGAACCCGTGAATACTCCGTAAAAGTCATCTACGATCATGTAAAGACGTGACACATTGGTATAGGGTCATTGTGTATATACTCTTATATATACACAAGATGTAATGATTTACATATCGATTCAGTTATACTAGAATTACATTACTGATTACAAAGCTGTGGGATGCGTTTTTCTTTGAAGATTATTATGTTGTGGTTTGTGAAGTATGTGGCCAGGGGATCTTGAATTAAAGGTTGCAGTTGAATGTTGAAGAAGGCGATGTCGATAGAGGTTTTGATTTGAAGTTCTCTTGCCATTGCTTGTGCCTCTGCTTCGCGGGCTGTCGCTTCAAGGTCCACTTGTTGACGAGCCTTCTTTGCAGCACAAAGTGCACATAATGCCTTACAGATGTGTTGTGGGTACCTCGCTTATCAGCAGAATGACCAATGGCCTAGTGGCATAGCAGGTGCTTGCCTACTTCGTGAATGTTACGGTGGGCGTGTAGTGGGTACGTGGCACAGCTGTGCCTCTGGTGTACACGTCGAGGGATATGCCCTGAGCATAAGAAGCTTGGCGAGCAAGCTCTTAAAATTAAAATTCAATGTTCAAGTGGTTCACACTGTAAACTGGTAGCGGCGTGAACGGATGTTGGCCGTCGAGTAATCTGACCCTTGGCAGAGCGTGTCGTTTTTATAGCGCAGTTAACGAACCTGCCAGTGATATCGTTAGTGCTTGCGTAAGCTCTTGAATAAACTGGAATATTCACATCCTGTACCTAATTCTAACATAAACTTCTCAAATAATTGTGAAGCTTCTCTAGCATTGCAGGGCAGTCTGCATTAGCGTTGCTAACAGCTTTTGGGGCTGCAGCCTGAATACACCAAAATAGAGTTGTTAAACAAGCGTAACAATATGTATTACTAATTGTAAACACTATTATTAGCAAATTCACCATTTTCACTATAGTGCATTAACTCGGATAGCTCTGCCAAGGTTGGCCTTATGAACTGGAACAGCACGCAGGGACCAAGCAAAACTCATAAACTGAATGCCAAAATTATTAACTTTTGAATAACTCAGCTTGACCTATGCTTTTGATGAGTTATCTGGCCGTTCTAGCAATACAACTTAGCTGGAGACCATTTTTGACCGTACTCTCATAGTTAATCAGAATTTTAGATACATAGCAATATTATTGAAGGTTTTGCAATAACTGAAAAAAAGAAACATAACACATGGTAAGGTAATTTGTTATCGCAGCAGTCTTTTGGTGAATCAAATAAAATTTTTGTGACCACTGTCCAAATTTGAAGTCAGTATAGATATTCACTTTGTAATAATGAGGAATATTTGTCTAGAGTGTTCATGCCTATAGAAGACTCCTAACGGTAGTGGTAATGTGCTGCATGATACTTATTGAAAAAAATGTTTCACATTTGTCACCAAGGCCCCGAGTGGCAGTGACTAGCACTCCCAAGGTGTGTCTTGTAAAGGCAAACAATGACAAACGAAAACAGATTGGCAGGATGCACATGATATGGAGAGGTTGCGGTTTCTCCTTATGCTGTGTGCTAGCAACAAAAGACAGGATGTAGACACAGGGCCACGGGATTGTGGAGGTTGCGGGTTTGCCACCCTGCACATGCGATAAACCTTCAGCGTGTTTGGGAGGGCAAGATGCAAGGACGACCATTGCCCTGCCGTCACAGAGACCTTGTGCCCCACAGATGACGACGTTTTGGCGAGAGAAAAGTCGTGCAGCGCATCGTCTGACTCGGATGCCGAATCCTGGTCGAGCTCTGAGGACTGTGGTAAATTCTATTTGCCAGATGTGTGTGGCTTGTGTGTTCATGTGCATCTATATCCCATGTGCGTGTGCACTCAGACGAGCTCGTTTGAAGTGCTGTCTCTGTAGAAGGCTGTGCTGTTCGTGTGACGAGAGGCTGCAGCCGTTTGCTTTAATGCGCCTTTCCTGACTGTCTGTAGATTTTTCGCTGTGTGCATTGGAGTTGTTTGCAAAAGTCTCCAAAGGCATGCTTGTTTAAGAAGAAGCTTTGTGTTGAAGTATGTCTCATCTTCCGGTATCTAAATATAATAAGCTCAGTGATTCTGTAATTCATAATACCTTTAACAGTACTAATGTGTGGACATGTTCTCTTGCTTATGCACTGAAAAAAAGTTATTTTCTAGCCCTGAAAAGCTAAATAGTTTCGTATGAATAACTGTTTTATCTTCTACTTTACTATATCACGTGTCCTGATCTGGTGGCTGAATTTTAATAGGTGTGGAATGCGAGAACACTTTTGCAATGAGGTAACGTTAAGCAAACATTGAAGAACCTCATGTCATGAATATCAACTTATATTCTTGTTGGACAGCTTCTTATCACTGTAATACTTTCAAATTCCATGCTTATCAGTTTTGTACTGTTTATTAAAACATCTTTGGGACATCTCGTAGTTGTTTTCTGGATATGATTTAGACTTTTTAGTTATTGCTATGACCTTTGTTTTTAAAACTTTTGATTTCTCACTTAAATGACATCATTATGCAAACTTTTATGCCTGGTTACACTTAAGCTTGCTGAATTTGCTAAAGCTGTTGAAAAGCATTGAGGGTCAGATGGAAAGCATGTCCTGGACAAGCGCTATAGTCAAATATTTCCAACGCACATGATTTGATTGTAACAGTTGCAGCAAAGACTGAATGAGGGTATTCCTCCATAAGGAATCAATTTTGAGAGCGAGTGCACCCAAGCTGAGGTTTCCTTCAAGCAGAATGCATTTTGAGTACTTGTCTATAGGTCGTGTGCTTTCACATAACTCGATACCATGGCTTGTAGCAGAGCATTTGCAGATGGCTCCTGGACGTTTTTTTTTTTGTGTGTGTGTATGTGTGCGTGTGCGTGTGTGTGTGTGTGTTTGCATTGTGAGGCAGTTTGAGCTGGCTTGTGAATCTTGTCTGTGTTTGAGCATAACAGTGCATTTGAATGCATTATGAGGCAACTAAAGCATCTGTAGTAACTGTTTCATTGATTTCTGGCATTGTGAGCGGTGCAGAGCACTCTGTTGCACCTTTTCAAATGCAAGCTGTTTACAATATGTTAGATGCTGGGTTGGCACTTTAGAGGCAAGGCATGAATTGCTGCATTGTTCAAGAATGTTTGAAAAATATTCACTTCAATTTGTACTCACACTTTATTATTCAAACTTGTTTTCCACTCAAAATTTATTTTGCTGTTTACATAGCTGTTAAGTGAATCCAATGACAATTTAGACCAGAAATTGCACAGAAGACATGGATCTATCTCTAAGTGTTTTCTGATAATTTTGATGTAAACAGCAATGAATTAAAAAGGGCAAAAATGATCTTTTCTATCAGTGGGATTTGAATACATAAGCTTCAAAAAACACATCTGATGTTCTACCGATAGAGCTGCGAATAAAAGTACTTGCCTGTCTATTTCGTTGGATATTTCTACACGTAGCTTCGCGTCATAACTGCTACACCACAATTCAAGACTTCAATCAATGTCCACTGTGTTTTCCCATGCCTAATAGTCTGTTGCATTTGTTCGATTACTCATAACATGCCAATGTAATGTAGCGCCACGTAGAAAAAGTTTGACTCGTCATGGCAACGTATTAAGCAAGTGATTTCTGTCTCAGCCAAAAACCAAAACCTATGTAGCTTACAAGTCATGTCTAGTAAAGAGCAGTGCGATTGGCCCTTGGGGAAACGGGAAGGCATCTGTGAGCCTTCCCACTGGAGGGCATGCAATGCTGATTTCTGCACGAAGAGAAGCATATGAAAGGCTACACATTCTTATCAACAGGTGGAGCTCATGTATGAAGAACGGTGCTGTCTCTTACACTACTTTAGCAACTGTGCCGGCCTCAGCAAAGGGCTGTTGGGGGAGCCAATTTGCAGGAGACGCGTGCTGTATCGGTTAAAACAAATCAGATTTGCAAGCGTTCCCACAATCGCAGTTGCCCAAGTATGTCATAGCCTTGGTTGTTTACTGTTCTCAAGCATTCGAGACAGTTTATGTAGCATACATAAACCGTTTCTGCAATGGCTTTTTTTTATTTAGCATTCTGCAAGCAAGGTTTCTCTACTAGCTCTGAAGCATTTCTTTTTCATTTGTTAGTCAACCATGCAGTTGTTAGTCAACCATGCAGTTGTTAGGCAACCATGCCAAGTTGCATACCCCAATTTTCCTGCAACTTGGCTATGATTTTACCTGATCAGACACTTTTTCTTCTGTAAAATGTGTAAAACTCTTGGCTGCAGGAGTGTAGGTTATCTCTCGAAGCTTAATTGATGAGTTTCGGCACAGTTTCCCAGATATAGGTGGCTATCTGAGACAGTGCACACCTTTCGGCTTCTATCATTGCATGCATTTGTGGACGGTGCTGTCTGATGGCAATGAACAATCAAGTGTTTTGGTATGGTGAGGTAAACTTTTACCAATGCTTTTGATTTAAGAGCGTAAGGCAGTTTATGTATGTATTTGTATAATTTTAAATTACTGCTATACTCACCAGAACCGATATAAAGTTCTTTCTTTTTATCATGTTTTGGAGAATTTTTAAAATGTATAGCTACAGATAGCTGGTTTCTTCACCTGCGTTAGATTATGAGAATTTTTAAAAGGTATAACCACAGATAGCTAGTTTCTTCACCCAAGTCAGGTCACTTGAGGGTGCCAATGCCGGATTTTTGAGAAACTGTACCCAGTGCTTAACTGCTGCACAAAAGCTCCCCGGCTGCAGTGGCTGCATTTTTGATAGAGGCGAAAATGTTTGAGGCCCGTGTACTTAGATTTGGCGCACGTTAAGAACACCAGGTGGTTGAAATTTCCAGAACCCTTCATTACGGCGTCTCTGATAATCATATTGTGGTTTTAGGATGTTAAGGCCCAGATATTATTATTACGTAAAAACTCAGTAATCTGCATTTGAAATGTGATGATGATGATGATATGTAGGCTTTAACGTCCCAATACCACCATATGATTATGAGAGACACCGTAATGGACATGTCCGGAAATTTCAACCACCTGGGGTTTTTTAAAGTGCTCGTAAATCTGAGCACATAGGCCTACAACTTTTCAGCCTCCATCGGAAATGCAGCCGCCGCAGCTGAGATTCGATCCCAAGACCTGCGGGTCAGCAGCCGAGTACCTTAGCCACTAGACCACCGCAGCGGGGCGCATTTGAATTGTGCTTTGTGGGAATCTTACTATTGATGGAGTCTGTAAGTAATGAAAGAAATGTCAGCTGGGAATAAATCTTGAGAGAGAAGCATCATTTATGGTGTGACTGCCTCCATATATGTGTTAGAATGCATATTTACTTCCCAATTGATTAATGAGCCACCTTCTTAATTAGTTGGCAACATTTGATTACGAAACTATTGCATTTTGTTACGTAATTTTGACATTAAAGAAATACCACAATACCGCTTCTAGCCATGAAATTACTTTCAAGCAGATATGCTTTCAAACTCACGGAATTCTACAAATTAAATGTAATTATGTCCTGAAATATTCTTAATAAATCAGTTATATATTTCACTGAGTATTGTTCACTCCTTGTGTAGTTCAATGCAATGAGTAAAATTGTTCTGTCTGCTGCGGGCAATTTTAAAGTACTCAAACTTTTTATTCCAAATTTTTGTGGCAATTTTTAATTGTAAGGCTCAAAGATCTAAACAATAAGTTTGTTGTTCTATGCTATTTCAAATGTAGAGCAACTTTGCTGGGGGTTTAAAGGTGATTTACTATGTGAATGTCAGCCTGTGTGTCTTAATCTGGGTGAGGCATGAAATATGGAATGTAATTTTCAAACGTTTGTGTTGTGGTTTACCTGACTAAACTACTGAAATCTAAACGTACTCTAATATGTGTGTCTGTACAATTGCAACTTAAATGTGAATTTTCGTTTGCCCGTTTTCTAACTCTTTTTACTAAACACTAAGTATACTGCACGTCTGTTGTCAGCATCATATTGTGTTTTGAAATATTATGCATGCAGCTTAAATAAGCACTCTTTCTTTTCGCAAAACACATTGAGTACAAATGTAGTTTTGCGTTCCCATCAAAGTAATACAGTCATACCTTCTTATAACAAATTCCCCAATATAATGAAGTTTTTTTATTTCTCGTCATTGCTCCTTAGAAGCACATATATTTCCAACCTCTATGTAACAAAGCAACAACGGGAGACAACCTTAATATATAGAATTATCCGCTGTTCTTGCCACCGTGCGTGCATGTGCGGAAGTGCCCCCAACTTGAAAAAGAAAAAAATAAAGAAAACTACTATTGCGTTGGCAGTGCCGTGCATTTAGTGGCCGTCACATATGTGGAGCCGCACTGCATATAAGGGCGCTTTACCAAATAGTTTTCCCGCTGTATCCGTGTCGTTTGCTCTTCGTTTTGGATGCCATGCGCGCGTGCATGGTTTCGCAGCGCACGCAAAGTGTGGCCCCCCGAGGACATTCAGCTTTGCTTTTTTTCCTTTCTGTGTTTTTTTAAATGCAGACAACAGTGTCGTCACTGCTGAGGGGTTGTCAGATTAGGCGCTGATTAAAATTCTCCGAGACAACAGTGACGACGGGTCTTCGGAGGTCGACTCGTCACGCGCTTCCATCTTGCACCACGCGGCATTTCGCAGGCTTGTAGCCTTTGCTATTTGTTGATTAGCTCCGGCAACAACACAACGGTGTGTTGAATGCAATGCAATGAACATGATAGTAAAAAAAAAAACTTGGACTATCTTCCACTAAAGGGGACAAGAGTGACCACGGATCTGCTGAGGTCGACTCGGCACGCACTTCCATCTTGTGCCACACCGCAAATTCGCTGGCTCGTAGCCTTCGCTATTTGTCGATGAGCTCCGGCAACAACACAACGGCATGTTGAATGTAATACAATGAACATTATAGTTAAAAAAAAGGCTTGGACCATCTTCCACTAAAGGGAACTGTGTAGATGTGAAGCAGCGGGCGAAAGCCTACTTTAGGTCTACTTTAAAGACGCCCTTGACTGCATTCCGAAGGCGCAGTCCAGTGGGTACATATACGGGGTGGCCAGTGAACAGTTTCCCAGCGCGAGCAGTTGGTTTTTTGCTTGAAGACGCTGCCTGCATCGGCCTTGCGAGGCGAGAGAGGGGGAGGGGAGCGACATTTTTTCAGGTGTCTTCCTGTGGGGGCACGAGGCGTGAGCATGCGGTACTGAGATGCGAGCATGCGCAGTGGGGGTGTATGGAGTGACATGCACTAGTCAAAGAGTCGCTTCGCATCTCAAATTGTAATGTTATACGAAGTGAGACTGGCAGCAAACTCCTTTGGCATACGATATCGCGGAACTCCTGCAAAATGCTGGTTAGAGTAAATATGGCCGTCTGCAGGAAGAAGTGCTCTTTTCACACAGTCTCTTCGCATTGAAAGTGCACTGATAAACTTGTCGAGGTAGCATGCTCGCCAGCTATCGTGACCGTGCATTCTTGCTACTCGAGCGACCCCCCCCCCCCCCTACCTCCCCACCCCATGCATTTTTTATGCTTGTTCAAGACGGATGGTTTTGCTTTCTGTTTGAGCGTTCGACCGCAGTTCTAACACGTGGGGGTGTTACCTTGTGTGCCTTCCAGGGGATAGAGATGGGCTGACTCATTTGATCTGTGCTCGCGTGCTTTTACCCGCTCTTGAAAGTTACGATGCGTGGGGGCATCTTATCAATTTGGACTTGTTATGGAACATGGCGGCAACGACGAATACCGCCAAGAGTGTCTATGTAATTGCTATCACAGTAAGAATGCAGTTTTCTACCGCTAAGTGAGTGTTTTGGGTTAGCTCTGTCTTCAGTCCCGCATGTGCTTAATTTGTGCATTTATTTTCTGCATGTTCGCATCGAATTGAACCTGCATATAACGAAATTTTTTTGCATATAACGAAATTGTTCGCATCGAATTGAAACCTGCATATAACAAAAATATAACGAAATTTTTGTTATATCCAGGTTTAACTGTACAGTCAAACGTCAATATGGCAAAACTGCATCTGATGCAAGCCTGACTTTGCTTTAGATGCTAAAATTTGATATAAACATACGTTATTAACACTTTGCAATCTATTATATTTACTTCATTATAACCAGAAGTTATTATATTTGTATTCATTATATTGAAGTTTGGCTGCTTTGCCTGGAAACCGTGATTGGTGTGAAGGGGCGTGGCACTGCTTGCTGTACGTAATTGCATTTTTAAGTGTTGCTTGTGAACTACTTGTTTAATGTTCTAGTGTGATTTCAGTGCCTTATGAGGCGCTTTTGTGAAAGTGCATTTAGGCTTAAGTTGTGTGTTTACCATTTGTGTATTGTAAATACGTACATGTGTTCTTGTGTGAGCGTCTTATTCATTCTGTGTTATTGAGATGTTTATTAACCAAGTTCATACCTTGCATTGTTAATCTTACTTGGTAGCATCTGGTATAAATTCTAGAGTAGATCCCGCAACTTCTTAGTTGTGAGGTGCTTATTGAAGATGCAGGTTGCTCGCATTTAAATTTTTGAAAGTAAATGCAAAATATTTGCAAAAGCTTTGTGGGCAAGAAAGTTACCCAAAGCAATCTGTATAGAGAAGTTCTAAAAATTACTTCCTTGTGCAATAGTATAAGCCTAGCTGCTGGAAATTTTATGCGTGCATTTGTCCAATTTTCAATAGTTAGTGGCCTTGTTATCACCAGTTATCCAGCTTACGGCAATTTCAACTTGCACATGCTGCCCAGCTATAATGAAGTCCATAGTTTTTCTGTGTACAGTGATCGACATCTCTAGTAGCGAGAATGTTGTCACAACATTGCTTCTATGTTATGGCCACATTGTAGCCTTTATATCATTGAAATCATGTTATGGCATTGCTCACAACATTGCGACAACAATCAGTGCTACTGGTGGTTGTGACCTCCATTGTAATCTTCTACAACATTGCTTCGTCACCACAGCTCAAAAGTATTGCTTTGGAGTAATATATTTACCACTCCTAAAACTTCCAGTTTTTTTTTGTGTGTGTATGTAATGCACATTTGAATATCTTCTCATCATTACTAGTCAACTTGATTTAATAATAGTAAATTTAACTGGTACATGCTGTCCAGCTAATACGAAATGCAAACCTTCATGTTTTCTATTCCGAATCTGCATTAAAATGTGGCTTCCTAGCCATTTTTGACATTGATCAGTAATCGCTAATCGCAGCTTAAAGAAGCATTTAATAATACAATTACTTGGTGTTTGAAACTTTCAGTCTTTAGTTTATGAAGTACACTCTTAAGAAGCTTGTGGTTATGTTATAGTCAAACTCGTTTTCGTATGCTTCCAACTTCATATGCTTCCAGCTTTAGAATCTACATTATGACATTGACCTGTAACCATTTCCGGAATCTGCATCGGAATGTGATTCTATACATCAAAAGGCGCAAGGAAAAAAGTCATGTTTACTTGAACCTGGAACCAACTGCTATTATCTATCTTATTCCAAATCTGAAAAAAATTTCATGCTGCTTCAAAGCTTCATTGTAAAAATGTCCTCCTAGATTTTTTTTTCGTAGCTTCATGAGGTAGAACTGTAAATTCAGATTTTCTTCCTTCTTTTCTTGAATTTCCTCCTTGTCACTTGCTGCTAGTGTCAAAATAACTGTCAGTTGCTCACACGCAATAATGTAGGTCATTGTAAAGTCATGTATCCCAGTTTATAAAAAGCTGCGAATTCTTTTCCATGTAAAGCAAAGAATAGATGTTACATAGGCGAGTTATTCTAACATGATCAAGATTTTTTTTCTAACTGCTATGATTCGTCATGCGTTCTATGTGTAGTTTTTGTGGGCTGCCTTTGTTCATGAGTCTATGGGCATTTTCAGTTCCACTATTCTATTGCTTATCAATTCTCGCTGTACTTCTTGCTTGCTTGGCCTTTGACCTCTGTTCCTCTCAATAGGGCTCATGATTGCACCCCACAAAGAAAAAGCCAGTGACTTGTGTTCATGATAAGACGTTAAAGGAGCACTGACATCAAATTTCAAGATCGAGATGTGCCCATCATTCGATCACTTGGCATGCATATGTCTTCTTGGCCCAATTTGAATGGCGTTCGTCGCGTCGGAGTTATTTGTTTTGATGTCAAACAGCGTGTGAAAGCTAAGGAGAAAAAAGGAAAAATAGACTTCTTGTGACGTCGACAATAGTGCTATGTGTTCGGTGTGATACATTCCACAAATACCATCCTGAGTGACAATACGCTAGTAACGATGGCGTCGACGATCTCTGAGTGTGTTTGGAGGAGACTTACAGCCATGCTCTCACTAGTGGCTCTTCTTGCTGTGTTGAAGCATGCGTGCGATTCATCGTGTCGCATGAACTTATTTGCGTTGAGCTCTACTGCATGTGAATACGATCATTCAGAGCGACAATACGTGCCAGAATGTCGAGGAACCCCTGCGTAGTAAGAGCCTGCACGTCGAGGCATGGAAAAAGTGGAAAGTGCATGTCGTTTCATGTCTTTCCAAGCCACGAACCTCAACGCAGCCAGTGAGTTGACTTCATACACGCCGTTGGACAGAGAGACTGGACGCCTGTGAAGAACAGCCGCATTTGCTTCCTTCACTTTGCGGCGAGCTGCCACAGGGTAAACCCTGTGTTGGTGAACCAGTTTGGTTTCACTTGCATTACGAGGCCTCTTCTCGAGGCCTGGGCTATTCCTACCGTGTGCCCTGCTGCAGATGAAAGTGGCGATTCACTTGCCAAACGTCCGCGACATGAGGTGCATAGTTGGTGTTCCTGAGCTCCAACACAACGGCCGGGTCGATAAATACATTGTATTTAACGCGGAGCTTGTCAAGCAAGGATTGTTGCAAATTGCGGCGATACCCAATTCCAGATCACTGTCATCATCACTTGCCGATGTTTACCACGACGACTGTGAGGACGACAATGTTGGCGACGGAGGTATGTCTAAGCCTTCAGAGACACAGCTGGACTGAATGTACGTGCGCTCCTAGCAGACGAAACACCAGTGTGACGACACCATTTTTTGCAGAAGTGGTATCAGCTGTGCAGCGGCCTCGATGTGGCGTGAGGTACCACTGCCAGCACAATTTGGCCGGCTTTCCACTCATTTTGAACAGCGTTCGATAGCGGATATATTAATCAATGTTACAGATACCCATTCATCTCTCATATGCGTTTTAGCTCTCGAATCGCTACTAGAGGGTCGATAGCTACTAATTGTTGTAAAAATCTTGACACGAGTAAATTTTATGTCGGGCTCCTTTAAGATGTCTACTCAATGTTACTTGTTTCTAGATTGGCCAGTCTTTCTTAATCTGCCACAGTTTCTTCCTAATCGAATCCTTCCTTTAATTTACTCTTTTTTTAGATTCGGCCAATGCCCTCTTTGTACGCTCCATCTACCTCGTGTGCCACCGACTGATTTCCTCCTGGAAGACCGACGTCCACGTCTCACTGGCCGCGCTTGAGGTGCTGTCGGGACTCGCGAGAATACGCCAGCCCCAGCAAGGTGATGAGCACTTTCCCTTAAACTTCTAGTCTTTCGTCAGGTCTTTATTAGACCCTTTTCAAAATTTTAAAGTTAGCTTTCCTGCTGTGCACTCTGAACTACCAATGGTGACTTGGCGTTTAGTGAGAATAGCTTGTTCAAGTGCGGTCCGCTTGTGCAATGACACGGAAAATGTTGAGTCTCCTCTCTTGATATAAATAATAATGATAAAGGAGCCCAAGCACGTTCAACAAGCACCGTGTCTTCAGTTGCAAGCACACGACAGGTGCTGCCATTACTTTTTCAAATACGCTGTGCAGAGAAGCGCACTTGTGAATTATAGAAAGGGTCCATTAATGAGAGAGAAAGTAGAGAGAAGAAGTATTTGATTCATAATTATAATTTCTTGTACAACACCCAGAACATAACTTGCACGACGGGAGATGCTTTGCAAGCGATGGGAGCCGTAAAAGGAAAAACGGGTAACAGTGAAGCCTTTAATTTATTGCACTGAGTCACCATTATAATATTCAATAGTTCAGTATCTTTTGTGGCCTGTATTATTGTTTATCAGTAAAAATAGGTATAATTTATGGTTCAGCAGCCCGAGACATGGCAAGTTTTGGGAATAACGTTAAGTATTGATTGATATGTGGGGTTTAACGTCCCAAAATTATAACATTAAGTAAGACAAGAAGGTAAATATATGAATTACAATACAAACAACATCCCCAATACTTTCCTCAGCTTGAGTGGCTATATGTTCTCATTATTGCTGAGTGTCACTGCCAATTGGGCAAATCAGTATCGATTCAATACAATAAAATAGCTCCCCGGAGTCGGACATGAATGTATGAGACATAGACATGCGAACACAACAGCTCACCTCAATAAAGGGTTCATTCACGTGTGCGGGATATTGCCTTGTGTTTTTGTATTTTTATGTAACTGATTCATTAAACATGTAACCACTGCCTTCCTTATCATTCCGGAGCACCTCGGAATCTTCAAGACTACTTTACAACCTTATGTCAAGTTTGTGCCCGCAACGAAAACAGTATGGTTTATTCTGGAACTGATGTGTCCATTATGGATAATGCTGAAATCTTTGATACGACAGGTGATAAATAAGCGCTGATGAGATTTCAAGTGCTTAGCACTGATAAGATTACAACAGTGCTTGCTGCTAGCACTATACAGCGTGTATAGCTCGTGCTTCCTACTTTAGTTTCCAGGGCACAAATTTATTTCAATAAAGAGTTTCGTCTTGAGCACGTTGACTGCTGCCTTTGTCAACGTCAATACCACATAATAAATATACCACTTGTAATTGATCTAATGTAGAAACAAAGAACACAAATATTTACCAATTTAAGTGCAACATTTCTCTGCACTGCATTCTTGTATAAATGGGCTAGTGTTCTTGATAAATGTACAATGGGTAAATGATGTGAAGATCGAAAGCCCATGAGCACGACACTTAATAATGAAGTTTAAGGATGTCATAGGAGTATGAAACTATGAAAAAGGGCCTTGAATTTCGTGTATTTGTGACGGACGTTGCCATCATTACAGATTCAGTCTGAAACGGGAAAAAGAAAATGAAACTGCGATTATCATTTGCCCTTTGAATAACGAACCTGTGATCACTAAGTCAATGCAATGCTATTCTCAAGGTATATCATTTTGTCAGTCTAAACAGATTCATGGCTACACTCTAATGTACCTTCAAGTTTCATCATTTCACCGACACAGACTCTCTCGAGTGCCCGCGTGCCGTGAAATGGATCTGCGACTTCATCGTGTACCAGTGTCAGCGACCGCCGCCGTTCCACTCGCGCGACCTCCACTCGACCATCGTGGCGGCGTTCCAGTGCCTGACGGCAGTGGCTCATGGCGCACCCAGCTCCTCATGCAGGACAAGGAGACGGTGCACCATGTGCTTGAGGTCGTCGAACTCGGTATATCTGGATCCAAGTCGCAGGTAGCTATGGGTAGATCTTTTGGGTTTGTGGACGTATTTGTCTTGCGTTTCGCAATAAATCGTTTCTGTGTTATTTTGTACTGTGGCATAAGACAACAAGGTCAAGGTTTCCATGTTTACTGCACATATATACCCCATAAAGTAGACGGGAAGATAGCCACGGTGGTAACTCAGACGATAGATCATCAGACGCGTTATTAGAAGATCACAAATTCAGTTTCGGCCTACGGCAACTTATTTTTCCATCCACCTTTTTTTCTTCATATTTACATTACACTTACCAGTAACGACAACCCCTATACTTTCCTTGGCATCATTGTCTGTCAGATCTGATCAATATTGTGTCTAACAAAGAAAACGAGCTTTTAAACAGACTCTTCTTTCCTTAAGCTCATTAAATACAACCCAATGATTAAAACAGAAAATTAGGCTAGGGAATGCATTAATAATTGCCTTCAACTGTAACGTACTAATCTAGACATCGGATGAAGTGAAGTGCATGAAAGTTTTTTTTTTCCATGTTCTTCATTGCAGTCCAAGGTATCTGATGTTCCTCAGCTGAAGGCCGAGAAAGAACTCAAGCCTTCTTCTCTTCGTGTTCGAGATGCTGCTGAAGCTCTCTTGTCATGTATGATGGACCATGTGGTGAGGAAGCAGATTTTTTTAAAAGTATTTCATTAATGTAAAGTGTTCCCTTGCACACGTTGCCGTGAATATATAATCCTGTTTTGACTCGTTTTGAGCCTATTCTGTAAAAAGGCAGTTGTGGTGAGGGTCCCATACTGGTATTGAGTACACAGTAGGCACCGACTCCTGTCACCGTATCTGATCTGCTGATTACCTCCCGAAACTGGATTCAGTCTGTTTAGAAATGCTGCCTCCTGCACAGCTCACCACTGACTGTACTGATGAAAAAAGAATACACATGTCTAACATGCAGCATTCAAGGTTTTTGTGTATGTAAGAGACCGATAAAAGTTTAGAGAGAAGCTTATGTACTTGAAAATGGGATACACGTATTTCCACCAAAAAAAATGTTTTCATTGCTCTCTTATATAGTTCTATCTCTTATATAGCAGTTCACTTGAGGCATAAGTAATGGCATTTACATTCAAACACTTGGCTGTAGATCCAGATAAACACTACCTAGATACATTTCCAGGCAAGTGTGTTGATGCAAACACATTAAAATGGATAAACCATTGCTGCTAGCCATTATTTGTGTTTCTTGTTACAGGGCTATTTCCCTAAGATGGCCGGTCCAGAGACACTGTCTTCATTGCTTGATGAAGAAGCACTGCTGAAGTTCGGGAACGCTGACGCCACGCCGTCGCTGCCGGAGGCTGTCGGCAAGCACTTCCGCTACTTCGTCTCGCAGAGCTCCGCCGTCATCGCTGTGCTGGAGCAAAACCTCGGCAATGACCAAGGTAGATGTATAAAATTTAAGAGCTCTCACCTTGACATCCAATGAGTTCCAGTACTTCCGACAACACATTGTTTGTGTTTGTCATTAATCCTGTGAATATGTGATATAATTGCTTATGCCGGAATGCACGTATTAGTACACAGTCACGCTTACGTTGACATGCCATGCTAGTTTGGAATCTGATGTATTTTGCTGGTAAGATGGAAATTACTGCACTAAGTGGAAAAGTACAGCCTAAATTTACATTTTCAATTATCGTAGAAAGGGAACTATTAAATAAGTTAAATAGCCGTTAGCTGTGTAGACTTAGCGACCCCTTGTGCACATAATTACTGCTCCTCAAAAAATCCAACGTAATAAACAGAAAAGTGTCAATATAACCAGTCATCTTAAAATCGGCAAAAGAAAAAACAATATGGTATGATGCTTTATGACCTTCTTTGTGCACAGAATGGTAGCAGTGCAATGATTAGGTAGTCCATGCATGGAATAGGGGGGGGGGGAGTTTCATGCATAATAGTGCATCAAATCGATCGTGCACCAAACCGTGACACAGTGGTTCCACCAAACAAGTTGATTCTGAGCGCAGGAGTTGCACTGTTACTTAATGATATCATTGAACCGCAGGTGCACTTCCTACCGTCACACTTTTGGTGAGGGTTCCTTTTGGGAGGCACGCTTGGACTATGCAGTTGCGCCATCTTCCACGCCACAAGGTGGGTTTCACCTGCCATGAATGGTTTACCCTCAAGATGGGGCAAAATGACGAAATAATGGACGCATTAGCTCTTCTGTCTCGGTCGCTATTTTCTTGTTACGGTACACGGGCAATAAAACAAAGCTTTTATCAGCCTACATACAACAATTTATTTAAAAAAGCTACAGTATACTAGGCTTGTGGGAATAGTGAATTTTAGGTTCGAAGTGAATAGTGATTTTGGTCGAATAATTTCGAATCGAATTCGAATAGGCTATATGATGTATAAAAAACAAAGGACATATTTACTATGACCTAACTAACCTGCGCAATATTTTTTTTATTTGAAGTAAGGTCTCTATGCAAGTGTGCAAGTGCTTTCTTTCCTTTCCCATTCAAAGGAAGTCGAAACAACTTCGAGAAGTAGCAGGATTGGACTTTCAGTAGGATGCACGTGATAACCTGTGAAATACGTAACACCATTCATTGCAGTTAGAGTGTATAAGTTGGCAAAGCAAGCTTTTAAGCTTAAAAAATGATCAAATCATTTCAGGATTATATGTTCATTTAAAGGGTTTTACAACAGCTTTTCGAGTAGCAATGAAATGAATTCACTAGAGAAGCTTATTGCCTCACGGATCAACCGCTGCAAAAACCTTTAGAATCTGTCCAGTGTGAGCGCAGTTTTGCAATTTGCCACATGCTGGAATTGCATTCTCTCTTCTTGTCTCAACGAAAGTGCTTGAAGCAAAGCCGGGAGAGATGGCATTGGGAAAGAAAATATGTCATGTGCGCGTTGTGACCTTTACCGTTCTTTTCTTTTTCTTAGAATACCCGGTTTTTTAGTGCGATAGCGCACGTACGCGTAGAAAGGTCGCGGCCACCTGCGGTGGCCCCAGTAAATGATCAAAAAGTGCTCCATGCTCAAATCAGCTAATCGCTGGTACAATGACTGTGACGAGTGATTTCTGACATAGTGGCGTCATTTGCCGGGAGCAGAGAGCAATTTTTATCTGATTGAGAATTTATTGTGATTTCTAGGTCACATGCTGCGCTATAATATTAAGCTCCCATGCTCTCCGAAGCCTCAACTACCGATCAGCAGCGTTTGCTGGCCATGCTTAATAAGTTTTGCAGTTTGAAGCGGAGCTTCGCGGCAATGAAAATTTTTCTTGGAGAGGTGCTTTCACGGTTTACCACCCCCACACTGCAGAGAAACCATTTTAGCAAGTGGTTACATGGGGACTAATATAGACCTATTTGTTCATATCGAAATATTCGATATTTTGAATTTGAAGCGAAGCAAATTCAATTACTCTACTATTCGGTTGAACATTCGAAGCATTCGAATATTCACACAAGCCTACAAGATACTTACAGAGTGAATGATGATGAGTGGGGCAAAGGTTCAAAGGATTTTAATCGGTAAACCGTGAATCCTTTCTCTTTCTATCTGTTTGTCCATCTCTCTGTCTATCTGTCCGCCTGTCCATTCGTATGTCTGTCCGTTCATCACCTGCTTAGTGAGCCATAGAAGTACCGTATTTACTCGAAAATAGGTTGACACAAATCTAGGTCCACCCCTACTTATAGTGTTCTACGAGAGAAAAAAAAAATTCGAATATAGGTGTTTTTTTCGCCGCTAGGAAGTCGAAGCAAGCAGACTCACTGCTTGGGAGCTCTGCCATCTTTCAAGGATAGTAGCGAAACTACGAACCTTTGGAAAGTGAAATTATTAGCAACGATCTGGGAAGGTCAGCGATCTTTATCGACAGCTACAGTTTATTCAGGTGAGCCAATTCTTGTCCGCTACACCTACTTTCTGTTCGTGCGACCCCGAAGGCAGTGCTAACCCTAACAATGACCAGGTGACGCCATGAATCCATTGCAACCATGGCCTCAGCTGAAGCTTCACTGAGAGGAATGCAGGCTCCCTGACTCACCTCGCAGCCTAACGCGATAGACTGTCAATCAAAAGGATGGAAGACGACATCTTTGGAAAGGACACTCCAGAAGAACAAAGCTGGTCATGATCAATGCATAACAATAATATCCATGCATAATAGAATCCGTGCATAAGAATAATAGGGCAACAGACGCAGACATTACCGCAGGCAGGTAAGGGGACGCCGCGTCAGCAGACGCCGAGGGCCATAAGAGACGAGCGTCTAGGAACATACAGAAGATGAACACAGCCCCAAAGAAGCCTTACTTTCCAAAAGAAGACATCAAGATCATTATTCGACCGAAGGATGGCTTTAACGCAGCTCTATGCAGCATTGCCCAGATAGGCGACTGCACGCCGAGAGCAACTGGGCTGATGCCCGAAGAAGTGCTAAAGGCTCAATTTGCATCAACGAGTGGCAGAACATCATTGCAGTGAGTACACTGAGGCTCGCAAAAGCAGAAAAATACACTGCGATGAAGGCCTTCTGCATAGGAGACAGAACATACAAAGTCACCGCATACATAACCATGCCAAAAGATACGTCGAAGGAAATCGTCTGAGGGATACCGCACTATGATACTTCCGAAGATATCGAGAAGAGCCTAGTGTACGAGAGGAACCCCAGCATATTACACGCCGAGAGGATGGGTCGCACCGATCACACGATCATTGTATTCCAAGGCACGTATGTACCACATTACGTGTACTACAGGAGTTGTGAGTACCGCTGCGTACGGTATAAGAAGCAATACGAAACATGTTACGCATGCGAAGGACTAGGCCACTGATCAAACGTTTGCCCACAGCCGCAAGCAAAAAGGTGTCGTGGATGTAGCAGCGCTGAGCCCACCGCCAATCATCTGTGCGAGCCTAGGTGCCTTCTCTGTGGCATGGACCATTCGACTGGTGACAGGAAATGCAAAGCCAGGTTTAAGACCCCTTACTTATTCGAGAAGCGACAGGGGGAAAGAAAGCTGCAAGAAAATTGCTCGAGTGAACGCGGGCGCACGAAGAACGAAGAGTGCGTCCACGACACCGCTGCGTTGGACACAGGCGCAAGAATCAATCGAGCTGGCGTTCCTGCACCTGCTCCCGATCGAGAAGCCGCAAGAAGGTAGACAGAGATCAGCCAAGGGCCAGTTCCAGAGCCCGGAGTACGTCAACCCCCAAGTCAAGAACAACAGCAGCACAAAAAGAATTTGGAGAAACCGGCAGCAGACACCCCGGACTGTTCGAGGTGAGCTGGGCAGATGCCATCTCCGGCAGATGCGCAAAGGTAGAGGCTGCTCCCTCCAATGCTAATGCCGAGACTAACGAATAGTTGGTACAGATTGAGAAGATGCTTATGCAGCTTACTAAAAACAACGGTAAACTTCGAGACGAGATTAGCATTCTTAAGGCAAAAAACGCTAGATTGATAACGCTGGCAAAGACAGAAAAGACATAGCACAAATAGTCAAGGTTCCGGAGGAAACTATTGATAGTGGTGCAGAGGTGACTGTGTCCATGAAATGAAGGGCTATAGATGTAGATTCAGATTTCGGTGAAAGAAGAACGTACAGGCAAGAGAGTGAGACAAAAGTGGTGCAGGAAGAGGTAGAACTCCGAATGGAGCAAGATAAGAAAGCACTTGAAAAGAAAATGAAAGACATGTTCATTCAGATTACTGAATTGATGCAGCACCAGTTCGCCACAATGCAACAGCAGATACAGCAACAGTTAGGCACCATGCAAATGCGCGTAGGTGTGCTTGAAGCGAAATTATCGGTGGTAGTCAGTCTACCTAGCAGAGGTTCGCAAGAAAGCAGTTGCGGGCATTAAAATGACTACAAAACATTACAGTAGGCCTGCAGTAACAGAGACGAGCGTGATCACTGGAAAGCCGTAATACCACCATGGCTACTCACAACACGTATTCAATCTGGCAATGGAATTGCAGGGGTTACACTAGGGAACAATATCATTTACAGCAATACCTGATCAACGAAGAAAATTTGGATATTATATTATTACAAGAAACTAACTGGAAGGCAGAATTGTTGGGCTGCAGGCCTTGCAGTGGCGCCACGGGAAAGAGATCGGCCGTTACCACGCTGATCAGACGAAATCTTACGTGCATTCAGCACGATACAAAAATATTTGAAATCGAACACATTTTAATAGAAATCATACTGAATCGAAAGTCAGCTAGCAGCCTTTTCGTCCTGCATGCTCACAGCAGTCCGCAGTGGAAACAAACATTCGGCACGCTGATTCGAAAAATGATTGCAATCGCAAAAAAAAATAGGCGGTCCTAATTGCCGGGGACTATAGTGCTCAACACACTGCATGGGGCTACGAATTCGAAAATGTCAAGGGTAGGAACCGGTGGGTCGACGTGCAGTAAGAGGAGTTGACCGTCTTTACAGGCCCCTCCTTGCCAACGCAACGAGGTAACAGCGTTAGCGTAGACACCACACCTGACTTGACCTTTACGAAAACCATTGTCGATTCACAGTGCATGAACACGCAGCAAGATCTGGGTAGTTGTCATTTCATAATAGATGTATAAGTCGGAGCAGGACCAGGCAAGACTAGAAGCAAACAGCTTAAATTGGTCGAGTGGGACAAATTCAGAGAAAACTTGGAGGAATCAATGCTCGCTGAAGCGGGACATTGCCGCGGCAATGCAATTAGTCCCGCCAGAAGCAGAACTTGAAGTTTTAGACAGCAGACTCTTACATATGTGGGAGGCCAAACGCAGCTTGCAGGAAAGATGGAAAAGGCAGAGGCACAACAGACCACTTAGGAAACCGATTGCAAAGCTCAATAGGGACATTGAGAGTCACGCACAGAAGCTGTGCAAACAACAGTAGGAGAATACCGGAGAATACCTGCACTAGCATGGAGAACCAACTAGGGTTCGCAAAGACGTGCAACTTACAGTTACCTGCTAGATCCGGATGAGACGAAAACCACTCACAGACAGAACATCAGCAGATTCATACATGCGTATGAAGGCTCCGAGCAGGTCATATTACGGGAAATTACGGAATGGTACATCAGTTCTACTCGGTCGCCAGTGCATTCTG